GGCATTTTGATTCTGTAGAGTACCCGCTGTGACGCCACCGTGTATCAGGAAAGGAACCTTGTATAATATAGTGCCGCCGTTGATATTAGAACAATCGCCGGTCTTCACCGTAACTTCCTCGGTTACCCGAAAGTGACCACGTGTTTCGAGGGTTGATGGTAAACGCGAAACCTCCGCCAAATACCTCGGGCCTGTAATATTAATGCTGGGTAAGTTATTTTCCAGGCTGTCGTGAAAGTAACTTCAGTCTTGAAGATAATTCCGACTTCCTTATATAAGGTTCAATAACCTTGCAAATTGTCAGCTTATAGACTGTTAAAGCTGAACTTGTTGTACATATTACTTCTGAGGAAATCGTTGACGATTATGAGTTTTACTCGCTGTAACAAGACTGCTGTTCAATTTCGTTTTGAATTGTCTGCAGATCTGCGTAATGGTCACGCATGTAGATAATCGTATCGTAGTAGGTAGTCGGCTTGAAGATCCCTAATTAGGCTCTTCATCCGTTGATAAATTAATACAGCGACGTTGTGTGTTGTAAATAGCCTGTGCAATTGTCTACGCGTAGGCTTGTAGATGGCATATGGCTTACAGTTACACTCATGTGATGTCTTGAACGGACTGACGAGTGGCTATATATGACGAGTGGCTAGTATATGGAGACCTTGGAGGAGACTTCCTCGGCGAACGCCGGGGATTTCGCGAAGATCTCGAAGTAACGCTTCTAGATCTTCTGGGTGAAGTAGACTTGGAGCCACTTAGCCTTCGCGACCTTCGCGAAGTATCGAGTCAGAGTCCGATCAATATATGAGCGCTTGCTTCGCGAACGACCTCTGTGTTCTACAGGGTGTGGGCTCGGCGAAGCGCTCCTTCGATCTTAAATGATACCATCGTCTTCCTCTGACGTGTGGTCGTATGTCGGAGCCTCGATCTGTAAGAAGATCTATGTGAGGACTGAGGAGAACGGACTGACGATTGGCTAGTGTATGTAGACCTTGAAGAAGACATCCTTCGCGGAAACTGTTGGCTTCGAGAACGGTGATGGCTTCGCAGACGCTCTGGACTTCTCGAACGTCGAGGCTAGCTACGCGAATGCCTCCTAGGCGTTGTAGAACCACTTAGCCTTTGCGTCTTGTGCGAATGTCTGGAATCAGTGTCCGATCCGACATATGAGTGCTTGCTTTGTGAACGCCCTTCGTACATGACAAGGTGCGTGCTAGGCGAAGCGCTCCTTCTCCGCGAAGCCTCTTGCAAAGGGTCAGGCTCTAGCTCCTCCTCGGAGGCGGCCTGGGATACCTTATGCAAAGAGCTCACTCCGGGCAGGGTTGCCCTTCGCGGGGGCGCGTCTATGGGCTCAGGGGCTCTACAGCTGAAGTCAAGGCGGGCTCTGGGGCCCTGTATGACTTAGTATGGGGTGGGCTCTGGGGCCTGTGGCTCTGAGGCCTCTGTAAGCCGTAACGGTCTTCCATCAGCCTCATGATTTGGTTGACCAGGTCGTCTGGGATGGTCTGCGCTGGCGCTGAGGGTGTCCTCTGTGATAGTGACGGACCCTCAGTTATAATCTCCGCGCCAGCGTAGGCATCTCTGATTGCATGTTGATCTGCGTTGAAGTGACGGTAGCCGTACTGGTCACTTCTTATGACATACATCTGGAATGATAAACGAAATGTCATCATCATATAAACATAATTCTGAATATCAGAAGCAAAGTTTTTTAGTAGCTTCGTGGATTTCCCTTTGACGAGTCTGTAGACCTGGGGGCTCGGAGCATACATTGAGACGACGTGGAAGTTCTTCTAGTTTTAGACTGTGATGAAGGAACGTCCTGGGAAGCAGGTCGCTTCTAGATATAGCGGACTGCGTCCCACGCTTATCCCCCGAAGGTAACTCAGGATATATCTGACTCCGATCTATTAGCCATGACTGAAGATTGTTTCCGAGATTTATCTGCCTTCCGTGTCAAAACGGAACATAAATATTTATCAAAGGCAGAAATTGGTAAATTAATACATAATTTACAACGAGAAACAATAGAACATGGAGTAATGCAACTAGGGCATTTTAAATGTGGATCGGTAGCAGAGTAACGTAATTTACAAACAGTGCAGATTTTTATTAACGCAAACTGCTGAGCAAACACGGCGAACCGTGAATCAAGCAGCAGAAACACGAATAATTATCAATGCATGTTGAATAATGATACTAGATACACCTCTATAGATGAATATAAGAGGTAACAAACTAAATACAAATAAAGGATATAGTGTGCAGGGAGACACAGGTGCTCTCACGTCTTGCTCACTGGGCGAAGAAGGAGAGAGTGAGGCACATGGGTTCAGGTGGCGCCCTCGTTCCCGAGCTTGTGGAAGGGAGGTAACTCGTGGTCAGTACTAATGAGTGATTTTTTATTGAAGGGAACTTCAATTGGGAGATACAAGTGTTCCACTAGGTTCGCCAGAAGAAGAAGACAAGCAAATAAACATGAGTCAGGATAAGAAAACATTATCCCATTGCACTAGAGAAAGACATTACTGTAATATAAGGACACAACAGAGCTTTGTCTTAGAGATGCAGCATAACTGTAACTGAGTGACAAGATGCCTTCTTCTGAAGCATCTATTCTTAGTGAATACTTATGTAGGGAGTGCCCTGCAGTATCTGTATGGCAGTTTTGGCAACTTTTAATACATGTAATAAGAAACCTGTCACAAAATAGACCTGCAACAGTACAACAATGTTTACATGATAATCCCCTTTATGACAGACTTGGGACAAACCGTGGTAAAATGAATCATTTACAGCAATACAGGGTCAATAATGATAGTCTTCCATGCACATACTCTGAAAGACGATGTTTTTAAGTTGAATCTTTATCTCTATAGTGTGAGTACATCGAAATCATTTGGGGAAGAAACTGATAATTTAATCATCAACACACATAATTGTAATGTGTAATGGCCATGAAATATTTTATCATTCTTTTGCTTGAAATCATGGTGTATATAATTCTGGTGGAAAACACAAAAATAGAAAATATTTGATGTGTCAGAAGTTTTGATTTCAATGTCATTTCAATTTACTGGATGAATATTACAATTGCACCAATTTTGGATTTTTTCCATGTTTTTAGCACCACTTCTACTCAACTACCAGCAATAAAGTAAACAAAAGGTTCTACAGAGGCTGTCCATATACACAGGCACAGATGCCCAGCTACATTGGGAAGAAACAATCTACAGAGGGTCTCCAAAGGCATTGATGCCCAACTATAGCTACTGTGGATTTATATTCAGCTATCAGGAAATACATGATGAAAGAGGATTGTACGTAAACAACAACATGTGAATGGTCTGTATGTACTCAACGTCCACGCGACGTTTAAACGACGGCACCTAACGTGTCTGGGCCCTGTAAGGGTCCATCATTACAATTACATATCTTTTAAACATCCGCATAAATGGAAATAAGGCCACACCAATTTTATTTCTTGTTTTACGGATCCGCCTGTCGTATTTTTTCAAGAAGAAGAAAAAAAATTAAAATTAATTTTCCCCGCTCAAAAAATAAAATCCGAATGCTTTTATTGGAAAAAATGTAAACTTACAAGAAACATTTTTTTAGATTGTTTTTTGCCCCATATACGCTTCATAAATTGCCAAAAGTAAAATACTTTGAGCATTTAGAAGGAATATTACTTTGACTGGTTGTTTTATTATTTTTATTTGTTTTCGTCCTGCCTTTAGGTTTTCTGAGGACAAAAATCTGTAAAACAAGAAATACAAGAAGACAAAGTCATCAATATCCCCCGCAATGGCAAAATACTCTTCATGATTATCTCTACGAGTTATGTTTATGTCAAATATTAAGGTGTGTATATGGAAAAGTGGAAGGAGAGTATTGAAAGGTGTTTAAAGTTCTGCTCCAGAAAGGAGCACTATCACCAATTTCAGTCTATGTCAAACTTGTTGCCATGGAAATGCCAAAAATATTTTATTCAGAAATCCAAAACTACCAAAAGGCACCAGTACACCACCAGATTTATGTACCTATGTGCCAAGTTTGGCGAAGAAATAGTGAACGGTTTTAGAGTTCAGCTCCGGAAAAGAGCACAACCACCAATTTCAGGCTAAGTCAAACTTGTTGCCATGGAAATGCCAAAATATTTTATTCAGAATTCCAAAACTACCAAAAGGCACCAGTACACCACCAGACCAATCTATGTGCAAAGTTTGGTAAAGAAATAGTAAACGGTTTTAGAGTTCTCCTCCGGAAAAGTGTACTACCACCAATTTCAGGCTAAGTCAAACTTGTTGCCATGGAAACGCCAAAAATATTTTATTCAGAATTCCAAAACTACCAAAAGGCACCAGTACACCACCAGATCTATCTATGTGCCAAGTTTGGTAAAGAAATAGTGAACGGTTTTAGAGTTATGCTCCGGAAAAGACAAATGTGCACGGACGGACGGACGGATGGACGCACGCACACACAGAGTCCATTTTAATACTATAAAAATAAAAATTGGTCTGGCCTAACTAGATATATCAATCAGGGTAGTGTGCTGTTTTATTGGCACCTTATTTCAACATCAGACACTGTGGACCCACATATCTACCATTTAACCTTCTTTACAGATAAATACATAACATTAGACACTGTATACCCACACATAACGTAATATTCATAACGTTGATTCTAGGTTAGGGTCCTTAAATATCTCTCCTCTTTATAACAGTATGAGCAAAAAGGGGTCTCTGAAACATTTTCAATCAAATTGTATGGATTATTATTATTTTGTCACTTCAGTTGGGCTCATCCGGCAGCATCAGCAAGTGAATAATGAGTAGAACTCACCCATGTTACAAGTCAAACAAAGCAAGGGGATCATTTCCTCCTAATCATGAGTTTCTCCTGTATATGACGTGAATGAGTAGGTACCCTGATCACACGCCTGTCAGCAGCATATTTGATGACAACACCATACAAACAGACGACATACAATCTGGTCTATAAAATCTTCATTTCAACCACGACACTTATATACAACACACTTTGTAGGAAGTCGTTACAAGCTGTACTATATACATGGTACCTCAAATGGTCGGGTAGCCTAGTGGGCATAAAGAAGGCTGTATACATCAAAAAATCCCAGTTGGGATTTGGACAATAACTAACAAGTGATGGAGAATGATAGATTATCTTTTCGAGTTATTATTACGCAATTCTAAAGCCTTGGTAGGAGAATTACATAATTAATATAACAAGGGAAAGATAATCTGTCATTCCACATCACAAGTTGGTCATTGTTTTTATTACCCATATAAGGTTTCAATCTAAAAAAGCACTAAATAGTTTCTCTATAAGGAAACCAGCGATGTGGGGAGTCCCCATATGCCTATGCGTGTTATTAGGCTTAAGCCAATCAAAGTTCACCAAAAAGGTGTAACATCCCCAGGGATTTACAGGAAAATTACTACCCTGTGGGCAATAAATATGTATGAAAGCCATTGTCCCTGCCACGACGTGTCAGGAGCACGGCTGTCAGTGATGGAATGCCAGCCTTTGTTAACCAGTAACTGATCATTTAGCATGACGCTGCTCTGCTGTCTCCATAGTGCTTACATACCAACACTAACAAACTTTACAGACAATATTTACATAAATGATCGGGAGTTAAACCCTATTAACCACCACTCCCTGGTGCGCCAACGACAAAGGAAATGACTTATTGACAGGCATTAATGGTGCAGATGTAACTAACAGCAACACCTGTAGTTACAGCATTAACTATTGGATGGGCTTTTCCAGGACAAACCCAGTTGATCCAGCCACCATGGTTGTACCCTAGCCCGGCCAAAACACCAAATACTGAGAAAAACACATATTAAAAAAGGTCATATAGTTAAGATTAGTTTGTGTTGTTTTTATTCTGGATCAGTCATAAATGCTGTCGATCAGGTCAAATATGAGCCAAGAAAACCATTCACTCTAAATGACTTAAAACTTTTGTTGGCTCCTGCGGACTCCCTCAGATCTCTGTCCAAGCTTGTGCTGACTTGGTTCTCACAAGCGTTGGTTGTTCCTCCAGGACAAGTAGAAGTGTTTAGCTTGTTGTAATGGGGTGAAGTACAGCGATGCGTAGAAGAAGAAGTCACACACCACTCTGGGTATGATGGGCCAGGCAATGGAAGTTAGAAACACAGTCAATAATGTCTTACAAAAGTCCTTTAAGTTCTTCCATGTTGAGCTGGAAGAAACAACATAAAATGATTGATTATTTATGCCACAGCTAATTCTCAAACAAAGGGGCATTCCACAATATACCTATCTGTAGAAAGTGACTGATAAGTGTTGTTGTAGACAAAGTTATCACAGATACTATGGATGCCTGCAGGCTCATTGACTGAGAGCAGGAAAGAAGACTAAGTGATACTATCATTGAGATAACAGACTGGAATGTTGTTGCAGTATGGGTGCATCTCTCCAGTGTCACAATGTTACCATCGTAACAAAGCATGCTGATTACTGGGGAAGTTGTTAAACAAAATGCAATATCTCCGATAGTCAAATAGGTACTTATTGACCTCAGTGGATGCCCATGTATCTCCTCAATCAAGACACCCATGTTCCACTTCAAGCAAGACACCCATGTCTCTCCTAGCAAGATACACATGTTCCACTTCAAGCAAGACACCCACATGTTTCTCCTAGCAAGACACCCATGTTCCACTTCAAGCAAGACACCTACATGTCTCTCCTAGCAAGACACCCATGTTCCACTTCAAGCACGACACCCACGTCTCTCCTAGCAAGAAACCCATGTTCAACTTCAAGCAAGACACCCACATGTCTCTCCTAGCAAGACACCCATGCTCCACTTCAAAAAAGACACCCACATGTCTCCTAGGAAGACACCCATGTTCCACTTCAAGCAAGACACCATGTTTCTCCTAGCAAGACACCCATGTTCCACTTCAAGAAAGACACCCACATGTCTCTCCTAGCAAGACACCCACGTTCCACTTCAAAAAAGACACCCACATGTCTCACCTAGCAAGACACATATGTTCCACTTCAAGCAAGACACCCACATGTCTCCTAGCAAGACACCCATGTTCCACTTCAAGCAAGACACCTACATGTCTCACCTAGCAAGACACCCATGTTCCACTTCAAGCACGACACCCACATGTCTCTCCTAGCAAGACACCCATGTTCCACTTCAAGCACGACACCCACATGTCTCTCCTAGCAAGACACACATCTCCTTATGCAAGACACATATGTTCCACTTCAAGCACGACACCCATATGTTCCACTTCAAGAAAGATACCCACACATGCCTCCTTAAGCATGACACCCATGTTCCACTTCAAGCAAGACACCCACATGCCTCTCCAAGCATGACACCCATGTTCCACTTCAAGAAAGACACCCACATGTCTCTCCAAGCAAGACACCCATGCTCCACTTCAAAAAAGACACCCACATGTCTCCTAGGAAGACACCCATGTTCCACTTCAATGCAAGACACCCACTTGTCTCTCCTAGCAAGACACCCATGTTCCACTTCAAGCAAGACACCCACATGTCTCTCCTAGCAAGACACCCATGCTCCACTTCAAAAAAGTCACCCACATGTCTCACCTAGCAAGACACACATCTCCTTATGCAAGACACCCATGTTCCACTTCAAGCAAGACACCCACATGTCTCTTCTTATGTCTCTCCTAGCAAGACACCCATGTTCCACTTCAAGCAAGACACCCACACATGCCTCCTTAAGCATGACACTCATGTTCCACTTCAAGCAAGACACCCACATGTCTCCCCAAGCAAGACACCCATGTTCCACTTCAAGAAAGACACCCACATGTCTCTCCAAGCAAGACACATATGTTCCACTTCAAGCAAGACACCCACAAGACACCCACATGTCTCTCCTAGCATGACACCCATGTTCCACTTCAAGAAAGACACCCACATGTCTCTCCTAGCAAGACACCCATGCTCCACTTCAAAAAAGACACCCACATGTCTCACCTAGCAAGACACACATCTCCTTATGCAAGACACCCATGTTCCACTTCAAGAAAGACACCCACATGTCTCTCCAAGCAAGACACATATGTTCCACTTCAAGCAAGACACCCACAAGACACCCACATGTCTCTCCTAGCAAGACACCCATGCTCCACTTCAAAAAAGACACCCACATGTCTCACCTAGCAAGACACACGTCTCCTTATGCAAGACACCCATGTTCCACTTCAAGCAAGACACCCACACGTCTCTCCTAGCAAGACACACGTCTCCTTATGCAAGACACCCATGTTCCACTTCAAGCAAGACACCCACAATTCTCTCCTAGCAAGACACACGTCTCCTTATGCAAGACACCCATGTTCCACTTCAAGCAAGACACCCACATGTCTCACCTAGCAAGACACATATGTCTCCTTATGCAAGACACCCATGTTCCACTTCAAGCAAGACACAAACATGACTCTCCAAGGAAGTGACACACATGTCTCTATAAACAACACATGTGTCTCTCCAAGCAACTCATCTCTCCAAGCAAGACACATCTGGCTTCTAACAACTAACCCCCATGTCTCTCCATGCTCGAAGTATTTTGGAACCCAAAATATGGAAAAGGAAAGGATTAACAGTATTTGTGTCCGTTTTATTAGTTTGTAATGTAGCCTTTACCATTCAGCAACTCACCCAAACTGTCGGAGCAGGATGTACTGTTTAAGTAAGGAAGCCTCTTGCATGGAGAGGAAGGCACAGCTAAAGAGGATGAAGAAAGATGTCCAGAACTGCGCACCAAACAGTGACCATGTCAGCTTGGCAATTAGCCAATAGGGGAGGAGGACGGCATTACTCAGAAATACCACCCACTGTTGTTTAGTTGGGGGAGGAATCTGAAAACAAACGACCAGCTCTTTACTAACAGCGGTGTCAGCCCGATCTGTCGACAAATGAAAAATATGATGTTGCTAACCGTCGACAGAATAAAAAACCCGGAGTGTCAACATTGCGTGGTCAACATACCATGACGGTGTTAATTAATTAAAGAGAGTGTTTGCTTTGTGATTTGCAAGTTTTGTCTTTTTAACAATTTGTAAGAGAACTAAGGTTGCAAACAGACTATTATTTTACATTATGCGAGTGGAAGTATTACCATTTTGGACTTTAACATGCAAAAAAAGATACCGGAAAGAAACAGAGTGCTTACAAATTATTTTGTGATATTGGGAGTAGAAGGATTATTGAAATGCTGTTGAAAACATTTATTTGGATACATTTGGATTACGTTACTACCATCCGGGTAGAAGGTCCATGGACTCTGCCAAGTTGGAATCATTTTGAAAAAGATGGACACAGAACTAACAATAATTTGGAAGGTTGGCACAACAAAATCAACAAGTATGCCATAAAGACAAATCCGAATGTGTTTGAGGTTGTGCGAATGCTGCAAAAAGAACAGTCAACTACTGAAGTTAAAATTCAGCAGATCAAAGGACAGCAGAGAGATCCCGTCCGTAGACGTCGTTACCAACGCTAGGATTCGATCCTTGAAGGCAGACCTTCTTGCCGACAGACTTACTGACTTGAACTACACAGACCATGTGTCAGAGTTGCTTCATCTTAGCTGAACATTACAGATTACTTTAGTGCAGATATAAATGAGTTTTGGCAAGAAAAATATCTTGACTCAGCTTTTATATATTTATTGCTTATACACCAGCAGAAATCACACACACACACACACACACATTGTGTGAGATTTATAAAATACATATACAAATATGTTATATTGTGTGACATGATACACACATTTTGACTAAATAAATATATTGTCTTCTATATATATCGCACTCTGTTTTAATTGGTTTGTTAATATCTAGAACTCTGGGCGTGAAGTCACTCATGTAGAACATCATCTCCTTTTCCCCGGACTGTCGACAAGTTGTTTGGACGGATTATTTGTTGTTGTCGATAGTCCAGGTATAAACCCCACCAGCAAACACATCAGCCATCTAAAAAGCAGCACCTACAAAAATATCATAAAGGGCTGCACTCATCCTCTGCTATGGCAGCAAGACGTACCTGAGACCACCTGAAGGGCATGTCCTCGTCCTGTGCTGGGGTAGTGAGATGGAGGAAGGGCAGGAAGACGTACCTGAGACCACCTGAAGGGCATGTCCTCATCCTGTGCTGGGGTAGTGAGATGGAGGAAGGGCAGGAAGACGTACCTGAGACCACCTGAAGGGCATGTCCTCGTCCTGTGCTGGGGTAGATGAGGATGGAGGAGGTGGGGGCATGCCTGAGACCACCTGAAGGGCATGTCATCATCCTGTGCTGGGGTAGTGAGATGGAGGAAGGGCAGGAAGACATACCTGAGACCACCTGAAGGGCATGTCCTCATCCTGTGCTGGGGGTAGTGAGATGGAGGAAGGGCAGGAAGACATACCTGAGACCACCTGAAGGGCATGTCCTCATCCTGTGCTGGGGTAGTGAGATGGAGGAAGGGCAGGAAGACGTACCTGAGACCACCTGAAGGGCATGTCCTCATCCTGTGCTGGGGTAGTGAGATGGAGGAAGGGCAGGAAGACGTACCTGAGACCACCTGAAGGGCATGTCCTCATCCCTGTGCTGGGGTAGTGAGATGGAGGAAGGGCAGGAAGACGCATGCCGAGACCACCTGAAGGGCATGTCCTCATCCTGTGCTGGGGTAGTGAGATGGAGGAAGGGCAGGAAGACGTACCTGAGACCACCTGAAGGGCATGTCCTCGTCCTGTGCTGGGGTAGTGAGATGGAGGAAGGGCAGGAAGACGTACCTGAGACCACCTGAAGGGCATGTCATCATCCTGTGCTGGGGTAGTGAGATGGAGGAAGGGCAGGAAGACATACCTGAGACCACCTGAAGGGCATGTCCTCATCCTGTGCTGGGGTAGTGAGATGGAGGAAGGGCAGGAAGACGTACCTGAGACCACCTGAAGGGCATGTCCTCATCCTGTGCTGGGGTAGTGAGATGGAGGAAGGGCAGCAAGACGTACCTGAGACCACCTGAAGGGCATGTCCTCATCCTGTGCTGGGGTAGTGAGATGGAGGAAGGGCAGGAAGACGCACCTGAGACCACCTGAAGGGCATGTCCTCGGCCCTGTGCTGGGGTAGTGAGATGGAGGAAGGGCAGGAAGATGTACCTGAGACCACCTGAAGGGCATGTCCTCGTCCTGTGCTGGGGTAGTGAGATGGGAGGAAGGGCAGGAAGACGCACCTGAGACCACCTGAAGGGCATGTCCTCATCCTGTGCTGGGGTAGTGAGATGGAGGAAGGGCAGGAAGACGTACCTGAGACCACCTGAAGGGCATGTCCTCATCCTGTGCTGGGGTAGTGAGATGGAGGAAGGGCAGGAAGACGTGAACTGAGACCACCTAGAAGGGCATGTCCTCATCCTGTGCTGTGGTAGAGAGATGGAGGAAGGGCAGGAAAGGCGTGCACCTGAGACCACCCTGAAGGGCATGTCCTCATCCTGTGCTGGGGTAGTGAGATGGAGGAAGGGCAGGGAAGACATACCTGAGACCACCTGAAGGGCATGTCCTCATCCTGTGCTGGGGTAGTGAGATGGAGGAAGGGCAGGAAGACGCACCTGAGACCACCTGAAGGGCATGTTCTCATCCTGTGCTGGGGTAGTGAGATGGAGGAAGGGCAGCAAGACATACCTGAGACCACCTGAAGGGCATGTCATCATCCTGTGCTGGGGTAGTGAGATGGAGGAAGGGCAGGAAGACGTACCTGATACCACCTGAAGGGCATGTCCTCGTCCTGTGCTGGGGTAGTGAGATGGAGGAAGGGCAGGAAGACGTACCTGAGACCACCTGAAGGGCATGTCCTCATCCTGTGCTGGGGTAGTGAGATGGAGGAAGGGCAGGAAGACGTACCTGAGACCACCTGAAGGGCATGTCCTCATCCTGGATGGAGGAAGGGCAGGAAGACGTACCTGAGACCACCTGAAGGGCATGTCCTCGATCCTGTGCTGGGGTAGTGAGATGGAGGAAGGGCAGCAAGACATACCTGAGACCACCTGAAGGGCATGTCCTCATCCTGTGCTGGGGTAGTGAGATGGAGGAAGGGCAGGAAGATTTCCTCATGGTAGAACAGGAATAGATACAGCAGTGTTGTCCGAGGGAAGTCTTTCATGCCATACAACAGGAACAAACAGCGACCAGGGTACAGCGCCTGTCAACAGTCACCATGGAAACAGGACTTCTCATAGTAACATGGCATATGCTACATTCTCTTCATTGTGCATGTATGCAGCATGTTACATGTGAGAAGGTTACTTAGAGAGTGTATTTAGTGTACCCAACAATCAACATTGGTCTAGACACAGCGGCCTGGAAATATTTTTTTCTGTTCCAGATATTGGTGAATGAGAGTAGAAACAGCGACCCATACTATCGGGCTACAAGGACTAGTCTGACTAACAGCTAACCATTTTACTCATCTCCCACAACAAGCATGACTGTTGGGAAGCTACCCTAAACCAGATCACGCAAAACATCAGCAGTTGCTAGCAACCTCCATTATGTGGCAAGCAGCTGTGTACTCAGCCAAATGTCCTCATATGTAGTCTCTCCTCCATACCTTATACTCCCACAGAGTAGATGGCATCTTGACCCCCTTCAGCCGGACATCCTCTATAGCAATGACCAGAGCCCTCTCATGGAGGGGATTCGTCACATTCAGCACCTCACCAATATTCTCCTCATCCAGGGAGAGGAGCACTGCACCATCTGTGAGGAGAGAAGATTTACAAAATATTTACAAAATCATTGCAGCAATTAGTTTGGAGTAATTAACATACAAAATCATCAGACAAAAATAAACTTGAAATGTCGCATCATAACATAATGTTATCCTATAAAACATCTTACATTTCTGTTACTCATCAACTTTGAAAATGCCAGTGAAACAAAAGTAAGCTTATTATTTCAAAAAGTTATGATTCTCTAATCAGGGTGATTCTTGAACTCTATACCTTTCTAATACTTCAATACATGACATCAAATCTTTCTCACCATCATTGTGAAGCTAACAAACATATAACTTGTTCTGTCCCTTCATCATTTATTGCTGATCAACCAAATCAGCATCATACAAATATCCACTGTACAATGCAGAAACTGAATGTGTGAGCTTTGATGATTCCAGATCTTTGAACCAATCATCTTGAAATCATGGATAAGAAAAACAGTTACAAACATACACTTTATGCAGACCCACTTAACCAGTCACTGACAATCACTGTTTCCTTAGTTGAATAAGAGCTACTGCAGCTTTTAAGACAGTGAAAACACTTCCCAGACTATAAAAATTCAGTTTGGTATTGATGGTCATTTTAAGGCATTTACTTGAACTTGGTAGGATGTCAGTCTGGCTGCAAGTGTAGGCATGGCTAAGTGTAACAGACACAGACCTACAGACTGTGTGGATGTTGACTCCCCAACCTACCGATGCCCTTCTGGTGGACCGCATCAGCATATCCTTCTGCCCAGCCCATGTGTGTCAGCCATGTTGCCACATCATCTGGCTTCCACCGCACAACGGGCTTGTGGATGAGGAGGTCGTCATCAGAATGCCTCCAGAACCAAACCAAGTACGCTATCTGGGCATAGATACACAGAATAAGTGTCTTCTGTCACTATTTGACAATTGCTCAGCATTTCATTTATACAGAAAGATACGAAAAATCATCGTAGCCAAACAGGAAAGCAAATCAGGATAATCTAATGAACCTAAACTGATCACTGTAGATTTCTTTCTTGTGTCTCCTAGTGGTAAATTGTTGTTTAGAATTAAAACTCATGTTTTTTTATCTCTACAACAATTATTCTGGATATAACTTACTTAAAAAAGTTCTAGAAGCTATGTCACCCAAGACGAAGCACTTTTGTACTAAGAATAGCCCTCACCAGGATGACCCCCAGGGTTATGACGATCCCCTTACAGAACTCCCCTGGGTTTACTCTCTGTAGCTGGCTCCCTGTCCCGGACAGACGACGGTCAAATTCCTGAACCTTGCCTATATTCTCTATATTCATAACTTCCGCTTCTCGCTCCAGCATTTTCTCTTCATATATCTTCTTCATCATGTTTCTGAAAACATCCAGATGATTGTCATAAATTATATGATCCATCATAAACAGACAAACCGTCATCAGTCAATGGTTGTTCATGAGTATGTTTGTGAATGATGTTACACTTTAGTTAGCAATATTCAGATCTGTGCAAGACTATCCTGGGTAAGACACACATCATCTCTGATGACTCATACCCACTGAATGAGTGAGTGATGTTGGTTTCATGCCACAGTCAACAATATTCCACTCACATATTGAGACATAATGGCAGGCTGTAAATAATAAATGAGAAAGTATTATCCCAAACATAACATATGTTGTACATAAGTCGATCTGGCCCAGGCAAACCACTGACTGAAAGCATGAGCAAACATCATTGCCAACAAACATGATATACAGGGGACCATGTCCTTTTACATACCTGAGTGCTGTGTTGATCTTGGGGTGTCCCTGCCACTCCTGGCGACATGTTGGGCACTCTTTCTTGTTAGAGGTGAGGAACCAGCGGGCCAGGCACACACGGCATAGGTTGTGTCCACACACAAGTGTGGTAGGATCAACCATCAGCTCATAACAGCAACTACACATGAAGTCACTGTCCGAGTCAGACCGGTTTAGTGTATCCATTGTTTGAAGGCTCAAGAATAAGAGGAAACTTGACTTGTGGGTCTAACACTGATGAGTGTCGGTCTGTGGTGGTCGTAGCTTCTAGCAGCTGACATCGACTTCAGACGTGCAGTTCCATCCATTCACAGCCACTACATAAAGATGTTTATCGATCACCAAAATAAGGCAAAACATACAGTCTGAGCTGACCAAAAAATAAGGCCTTTCAAAGCCAACATATTGGTACTGTGTTAACCACCTATTTCAAACTGTAGTAAAGGAATAACTTTTTTAATAATTAGATGTACTAGTTCTTGAGTAACATGTTGATTGTTACAGTAGTCACCTTTATGTTTCAGTAACCATGGTAACACTTGGAACTCATGCTACATATACAGCATTTGACATACTGAGCACCCTGTTCATAGAACGGTCACAGTATCTTGAAAATATAATTACAAGTCTCTTTTGTCATTATAAAGATAAGATGTTGAGAATTCCTTTCTTGTATAATATACATATACTGTAACCATGCATGTCTGCAAGACTTCATAACCGACACAGTTGAATAGAACCCTTCCTTTGACAACTTACTGCAACCTTTGAGCTAAACATGTCAGTTATTGCATTTAACTGCAATAAACATGGTCAAAACACTGTTTGAGGAAGGCAGCTGCGTAGAAACCCTACTTTCAGTTTGCTGGCACAATCATACATACAGGAAATAGGCTTCATGACCAGTATGCAATTACCTCCAAAGCCATCACCAAAAAATGTGTACTAAAATCATATAGCATATACATACATGGTAAAGGAAATTACTGTGACAATTAGACGGTATATTATTATTATTCTTTACAGCCTTGAGCATTATTATAAGTTGTTACTCGGGTTCCAGGCATTGACATCATAGTACATGTATATATGCGCCATTGCATCATAATAACCTGTGGACAGTTAGCCGACCGATCATCATAAAAACAATATCATAACCGGTACGAGATATAGAACGTGACCGTAACTAACTTAGGTTTTGGTACTGGAATAATTCCACCTTAAAACCATGTCCTTGTTTGAATTCCGAAGTAGCAGATTATAAATTTTCAATGACAATATGTCTGACTAGTAGATTTGACACCCACACTTCGTTATCTTTAAACTATGAAGACTATGTACCTTGTTTCACCGTCCTGTCAAGCCCCTGAAAGATGATCTCAATATAACCTGTGACGTGAACATCAGTTGTTTTCTTTCCCATGATTGGTCGCATGCTACAATGACCAAAAATGAAGGGTTTTTTTTTTTTGAACTTTTTTCAACCAAACTAAGTTGTGGTTATCGTTATCAATTATGACGTTGTATTTTTGCCACAAAATACCGTAAATCCTCGTGACTGACATTTGTATTAGCCGTAAGTGACACACAGTTAATAGTTAACCGTTCCCTCCGTTGATCCAATCGAACAGGCCATCCCTGATAATAATACGTACCGACGACAATCAATATATGTGACGAGGGAAACACACTTCGTACGACCTCCGCTATTCACATATTTTCTTTCGGTATATGTTCCTCGGTCTTACATGTCCGCACAAACAACATTTTTTTTTTCTATCATTCTTACGGCACAATTTAATATATTGAGCGCTCAAGTTAGTATCTTGAACGCACGAGTAAGTATCTTGTGCGCACAAGTTGATATATTGAGCGCTCAACTAATGGCATTAATGGAACGCACATCTGCTTGACTGCTGGCTAAACTGTACTGCTGGCTAAAATGTACAAAGTTATATCCTTTTTGGAAGATATCAAACGATGCAAAGTCGGAGTTAACTAGGTGCTTATGATGAGACTATGTAAAAGTATGCAAATTTATCATGAACATTGATGAACACCATGAACGCTTGTCAGTACTATTCTTTGTAACTGATTTTACCACTTTTTGCTTTATTACATAAAGCAGGCCCAGGTATGTGTAATGTCATAATAAGAGTTAAAACATAAACATGAGTATGAGTTTATTGCAGGGATGAATAGTGGTTTTACTTACTTCTTATATTGGTACATACTATTATGAACACTGGCGTATAGCTTGGATAAATTGTTTGGCGCTACGGCTTTATTATGTACATATAGCATGAGATCCGTATGTGTGTTGTAGTTTATTTAACATGTTTTAACAACACAGGAAGTTGAAGAATAAACACGTCGATGAAGACAGTGTCCTGAGCTAAATTCAGCACCATCCGGGTCCAACAACGACCGTACAGTATCCTGTTTCAAGATTAAACCGCATTGGATACATTTTTTATGCTGCCAACGATAACCATGTCTTTGTCCAGATCGTCGAAGTTGTCCGCAATAAAGTCTGTAACATCAGCGGGGCGGTGGGGTAGCCTCGTGGTTAAAGCGTCCGCTCGTCACGAGTGGAAGACCTGGATTCGATTCCCAAAATGGGTACAATGTGTGAAGCCCATTTCTGGTGTCCCCCGCTATGATATTGCTGGAATATTGCTAAAAGCGGTGTAAACCGTACTCCCTCACTCACTGTAACATCAGCAAATCTGGTGTCTGGTGCGAAAGAGGGACATACACCTCAGAATACGCTTCAAGTGGCTTACTATACTATACCATGATTTTTTACAAGAAGATGTGTTATGTGTTTGTATTGGAACCCAAGACTGAAATTAGCATGAATCAGCTCGCGTTTCCACTCCTCCTTGCTTCCACATGAACTGCTTATGGAGCAGTGTATCTCAATATACTAAGTTGAGCGCTTAATATATTAAGATATATACTAACTTGTGCGCTCAAGATAAATTATTATTTCATCAGGTCTTGTGCCTTCACTTGTGCGCTTCCGTACATTCTCAATGTATGTTTGCTTTTGTTTTCTCAATTATGAGTGTGATTGAGAACATGAGCTCAAAGCTAACTTGTGCGTATGGGTCTGACTATAAGATACTATATAGACCGTGGATGAGTGGATGAGCACGTGTGACTATAAGATACTATATAGACCGTGATGTGTGTGTGTGTGTGTGTGTGTGTGTGTTGTGTGTGTGTTTTTGGGGTGTACAGCAAAAGTGGTCTTTCATCATTTCATCAAACAAAAGAACTAACAGCATATTGTAATTAACACCCATTCACTCATCAATCACTTTAGGAAATTCAACAATGACCTCAAACATTACATTACCTTTTGTCATCAGAAATGTAGCAATGTTTATTTATTATGCTGTAAAGCACCGCCAATCATATATGGCTGCAAACATTTAATATTTGTATTATGGGCCGATGGCCTACATACACTCTGCGAACAAAGAATTTGAATTTGAAATATACCAGAGACTATATGTTGCGCATCCGTTCTAGCATATGCCCGCATGGGGTCTGGTTGTACTTCCTGCTTGGTCACCGTTAAAGCATATGCCCGCATGGGGTCTGGTTGTACTTCCTGCTTGGTGACCGTTCAAGCATATGGCCGCATGGGGTCTGGTTGTACTTCCTGCTTGGTCACCGTTCAAGCATATGCTCACATGGCGTCTGGTTGTACTGCTGGTTGACAGTTTAAACATATGCTCACATGGTAACTGGTTGTACTTCCTCCTTGGTGACCGTTCAAGCATATGCTCACATGGCGTCTGGTTGTTCTTCCTCCTTGGTGACCGTTCAAGCATATGCTCACATGGCGTCTGGTTGTACTTCCTCCTTGGTGACCGTTCAAGCATATGCTTACATGGCGTCTGGTTGTACTTCCTCCTTGGTGACCGTTAAAGCATATGCTCACATGGTATCTGGTTGTACTTCCTCCTTGGTGACCGTTCAAGCATATGCTCACATGGCGTCTGGTTGTACTTCCTCCTTGGTGACCGTTCAAGCATATGCTCACATGGCGTCTAGTTGTACTGCTGGTTGACAGTTTAAACATATGCTCACATGGTATCTGGTTGTACTTCCTCCTTGGTGACCGTTCAAGCATATGCTCACATGGCTTCTGGTTGTTCTTCCTCCTTGGTGACCGTTCAAGCATATGCTCACATGGCGTCTGGTTGTACTTCCTCCTTGGTGACCGTTCAAGCATATGCTCACATGGCGTCTGGTTGTACTTCCTCCTTGGTGACTGTTCAAGCATATGCTCACATGGCGTCTGGTTGTACTTCTTCCTTGGTGACCGTTCAAGCATATGCTTACATGGCGTCTGGTTGTACTTCCTCCTTGGTGACCGTTCAAACATATGCTCACATGGCGTCTAGTTGTACTGCTGGTTGACAGTTTAAACATATGCTCACATGGTATCTGGTTGTACTTCCTCCTTGGTGACCGTTCAAGCATATGCTCACATGGCGTCTGGTTGTTCTTCCTCCTTGGTGACCGTTCAAGCATATGCTCACATGGCGTCTGGTTGTACTTCCTCCTTGGTGACCGTTCAAGCATATGCTCACATGGCGTCTGGTTGTACTTCCTCCTTGGTGACCGTTCAAGCATATGCTCACATGGCGTCTGGTTGTACTTCCTCCTTGGTGACCGTTCAAGCATATGTTCACATGGCGTCTGGTTGTACTTCCTGCTTGGTGACCGTTCAAGCATATGCTCACATGGCGTCTAGTTGTACTGCTGGTTGACAGTTTAAACAAATGCTCACATGGTATCTTGTTGTACTTTCTGCTGTGTGACAGTTCAAGCATATGCTCACACGGCGTCTGGTTGTACTTCCTCCTTGGTGACCGTTCAAGCATATGCTCACATGGCGTCTGGTTGTACTTCCTCCTTGGTGACCGTTCAAGCATATGCTCACATGGCGTCTGGTTGTACAGCTGGTTGACAGTTTAAACATATGCTCACATGGCGTCTGGTTGTACTTCCTCCTTGGTGACCGTTCAAGCATATGCTCACATGGCGTCTGGTTGTACTTCCTCCTTGGTGACCGTTCAAGCATATGTTCACATGGCGTCTGGTTGTACTTCCTCCTTGGTGACCGTTCAAGCATATGCTCACATGGCGTCTGGTTGTACTTCCTCCTTGGTGACCGTTCAAGCATATGTTCACATGGCGTCTGGTTGTACTTCCTCCTTGGTGACCGTTCAAGCATATGCTCACATGGCGTCTAGTTGTACTGCTGGTTGACAGTTTAAACAAATGCTCACATGGTATCTTGTTGTACTTTCTGCTGTGTGACAGTTCAAGCATATGCTCACACGGCGTCTGGTTGTACTTCCTCCTTGGTGACCGTTCAAGCATATGCTCACATGGCGTCTGGTTGTACTTCCTCCTTGGTGACCGTTAAAGCATATGCTCACATGGCGTCTGGTTGTACAGCTGGTTGACAGTTTAAACATATGCTCACATGGCGTCTGGTTGTACTTCCTCCTTGGTGACCGTTCAAGCATATGCTCACATGGCGTCTGGTTGTACTTCCTCCTTGGTGACCGTTCAAGCATATGTTCACATGGCGTCTGGTTGTACTTCCTCCTTGGTGACCGTTCAAGCATATGCTCACATGGCGTCTGGTTGTACTTCCTCCTTGGTGGTGACCGTTCAATGGCGTCTGGTTGTACTTCCTCCTTGGTGACCGTTCAAGCATATGTTCACATGGCGTCTGGTTGTACTTCCTCCTTGGTGACCGTTCAAGCATATGCTCACATGGCGTCTAGTTGTACTGCTGGTTGACAGTTTAAACATATGCTCACATGGTATCTTGTTGTACTTTCTGCTGTGTGACAGTTCAAGCATATGCTCACATGGCGTCTGGTTGTACTTCCTCCTTGGTGACCGTTTAAGCATATGTTCACATGGCGTCTGGTTGTACTTCCTCCTTGGTGACCGTTCAAGCCATATGCTCACATGGCGTCTGGTTGTACTTCCTCCTTGGTGACCGTTCAAGCATATGCTCACATGGCGTCTGGTTGTACTTCCTCCTTGGTGACCGTTCAAGCATATGTTCACATGGCGTCTGGTTGTACTTCCTCCTTGGTGACCGTTCAAGCATATGCTCACATGGCGTCTGGTTGTACTTCCTCCTTGGTGACCGTTCAAGCATATGCTCACATGGCGTCTGGTTGTACTTCCTCCTTGGTGACCGTTCAAGCATATGTTCACATGGCGTCTGGTTGTACTTCCTGCTTGGTGACCGTTCAAGCATATGCTCACATGGCGTCTAGTTGTACTGCTGGTTGACAGTTTAAACAAATGCTCACATGGTATCTTGTTGTACTTTCTGCTGGGTGACAGTTCAAGCATATGCTCACACGGCGTCTGGTTGTACTTCCTCCTTGGTGACCGTTCAAGCATATGCTCACATGGCGTCTGGTTGTACTTCCTCCTTGGTGACCGTTCAAGCATATGCTCACATGGCGTCTGGTTGTACAGCTGGTTGACAGTTTAAACATATGCTCATGGCGTCTGGTTGTACTTCCTTGGTGACCGTTCAAGCATATGCTCACATGGCGTCTGGTTGTACTTCCTCCTTGGTGACCGTTCAAGCATATGCTCACATGGCGTCTGGTTGTACTTCCTCCTTGGTGACCGTTCAAGCATATGTTCACATGGCGTCTGGTTGTACTTCCTCCTTGGTGACCGTTCAAGCATATGCTCACATGGCGTCTAGTTGTACTGCTGGTTGACAGTTTAAACATATGCTCACATGGTATCTTGTTGTACTTTCTGCTGGGTGACAGTTCAAGCATATGCTCACACGGCGTCTGGTTGTACTTCCTCCTTGGTGACCGTTCAAGCATATGCTCACATGGCGTCTGGTTGTACTTCCTCCTTGGTGACCGTTCAAGCATATGCTCACATGGCGTCTGGTTGTACTGCTGGTTGACAGTTTAAACATATGCTCACATGGCGTCTGGTTGTACTTCCTCCTTGGTGACCGTTCAAGCATATGCTCACATGGCGTCTGGTTGTACTTCCTCCTTGGTGACCGTTCAAGCATATGTTCACATGGCGTCTGGTTGTACTTCCACATGGCGTCTGGTTGTACTTCCTCCTTGGTGACCGTTCAAGCATATGCTCACATGGCGTCTGGTTGTACTTCCTCCTTGGTGACCGTTCAAGCATATGTTCACATGGCGTCTGGTTGTACTTCCTCCTTGGTGACCGTTCAAGCATATGCTCACATGGCGTCTAGTTGTACTGCTGGTTGACAGTTTAAACATATGCTCACATGGTATCTTGTTGTACTTTCTGCTGTGTGACAGTTCAAGCATATGCTCACACGGCGTCTGGTTGTACTTCCTCCTTGGTGACCGTTCAAGCATGTGTTCACATGGCGTCTGGTTGTACTTCCTCCTTGGTGACCGTTCAAGCATATGCTCACATGGCGTCTGGTTGTACTGCTGGTTGACAGTTTAAACATATGCTCACATGGCGTCTGGTTGTACTTCCTCCTTGGTGACCGTTCAAGCATATGCTCACATGGCGTCTGGTTGTACTTCCTCCTTGGTGACTGTTCAAGCATATGCTCACATGGCGTCTGGTTGTACTTCCTCCTTGGTGACCGTTCAAGCATATGTTCACATGGCGTCTGGTTGTACTTCCTCCTTGGTGACTGTTCAAGCATATGCTCACATGGCGTCTGGTTGTACTTCCTCCTTGGTGACCGTTCAAGCATATGCTCACATGGCGTCTGGTTGTACTTCCTCCTTGGTGACCGTTCAAGCATGTGTTCACATGGCGTCTGGTTGTAATACTGGGTAGTAGTTCAAATCACAAAATTCAACGTTATCCAGGACAGCAGTGTCGTATTTTTCACAGCTCAGTATGTAACAACATAAATATTGTATTTTACGTCCGATCATATTCGAGCGGTACTGTAAGAGTCCTGGTTGTAAGTATTTGGGTGTGTTTTCGGGTTGTTGTTGTTTTTCTTTGTTTGTTTGTTTGTTTGTAATTTCTGTTTTTGTGGGGTTTTTTTTGGTTGTTGTTTTCCGTTGTGCACTTTTCCCCGGTACCATGGACATTTATCACTATGGCTTAATATATTACTTGTACATAAGCAGAGAGTAAAATCTATGGAAACATTTACGTGTGTATAAAGTATGTTTGACCTAAAAAACATCTATATCTATTCAAGTAGACAATCGTATGAAGACTTACGTTCATTGAGATGTGTTGTTATGGAGTAGTATCATTTAGTTACCCCTTGCAACAAAAAGAACATTAAAACCACAAGACAGTACAACATCTAACTTGCTTCAAATATATCTTTTATTTCTCGGATATATTGTAATACCACATGATGTCTGAAAAATAACAATGATTACGATTTTAATATTTGTGCTTGCTGCAAGTGTCTAAACCAAAACAAGATGGAGGTCACTAAAGCGAGTAAGATCTCTCGTGTTACTTTCGCTTTTAATAAACTTATCTGAAAAATACATTGGGTTCATCGTCATTTGGTCGCTAATGTCATTTTCAACTTTTTTGTAGTTTTGTTCATGATTCATTTGGTGACAGCCTCTGACATCTGTAAAACTTCCTAAATTTCAGAAGAGAAATCAAATTTCGCGGCATCATATTTTGAATACAATTGTACACTTTGGCACATCATGTTATCATCCTCGTATTACACAGATATACTTTAGCCATCAATTCGATACGTTACATTGTAATGATCCATTACAAAATTAATCACCACCGCGACAGGAATACATAATAGTTGAACGTGCAGTAACACTTTCCGCAGGAGCGTACTGAGACCATATTATGTATGGGCATATGGTCCCTGTTTTCTATCTCTTATTTTTTCACCTCTGTACCACTGAACTCCGGAAATAGTCACTTGCTACACATGTCAGCCACAGACCACTATTATGGAAACTGTCATTTTAAAAATACATCCTTTGAGTATTCTTTCCAACATTGCAGTTTACAGGGTGCAGCTTATGGCAATAATAGGCTCCAGCTGCATCTGTTTCTAAAATACACACAAAGATATGGGTTATAATTAGTCCTAAGCAACCAATGCTTTGTGTCTAATTTGGTTTTTGTAGGTTTACTTATAGTGTCTTTTGATATTTATCGATAATCTATTAACAGTTTGTTAATAATTATGAACCTTTTTTTCCTATATTGAAAGTCAGTCCTAGTGTAAACATGTGTAATATAACTGTAAACAAAAGTGACACTGTTCTTTGATGCCATTAAGGAATTGAATGCTAAAAGAAAAAGAGATATGTCCAGGCAATTTCACAGACTGTTAGTCAGCCTCAGGTCTGAAGTGAATATTGGCAAAAATCTGACTTTTGAAATTATCTGTGCTCTTTGAGCCTTTAAGAACCCTATGCATTAATAACTTGACACTTGGAAATCTGTCATTGCATGCTCCTTTCAAAATTTGGTCGCCCTGCCCTTTTTGGATCCTTGGGGAAACACTAAAGATACAGCTTCTTGGTTACATCAACAGTTTATTTTCGTCAAGGATTTCAAACAGAGCTCTTCTGCCTGTGGCCAACAATTGTGGAAGAAACACTTTCCCTCTATAATTACAGGTGTCTGGAAGGCTAATAGTTGCTTTTTGTTTCATACAGTAATATTTCAGTCATGCTCACACTGCTTCAGATGCAATAAAGACATTTTAAATTTACTAGTCCACTCATCAGTGAAGTATTAAGAAGCAAAACTTTTCCAAATGTGAACATTATTTCACTTACTTCAACATAAAATAAAATTTAAAAAACAACCAAGTGTTGATATCAATTGTTGTGTTCTTTGTACAGAAATGTTTTGAAGAACACACCGAAAGAGCTCCATCTCATATTCTTCTTTTCTTTCTGAATAAGGAATTTTGCAACAACTTTGTCAGAAGGGCAGGGTGCAAAATAGAAGGGCAGAGCTCTGCACCCTGCTAAAAATGCTCAGGGGAAACATTAATCATGGTGATTGTTGTTATTTATTAGTAATATTACATGTATGTTTAATGTTATTTTATTCTAATTTGGCAAATTCCAGACTTTAAGGAGTGCTTAAGTCAAATAGAAGAAGCTATCAACGAAGCAGATTTCCTCGCTATCGATGGAGAATTTACAGGTAGGAAATGTCTTATGTAATATCCACTAGGGCTGCAACGATTCACCCAGACCTCGTTTCGATTTGATTTTCGATATTGGACCCTCGATTTGATCATTTTCGATTCGATTCGTCATACAAGTAAAAACATCAGATTTCATTTAACTCTCAGAGTCAGCTTTTTTAGCGTGAAATCCATTGTCAACTCGGCGATGTCTACTAGCAACAATGCTCAATGGATAATTAGGCGTCAACCAATCATATTTCACCTTATTTCAGCGCTCGAAACTGCTAAAGTTGGAGTCAACATTACATTCTGGCTGTGTGGAAATAATTAAAATAGTTATTCAAATATAGAATCGAAATAGTGATAATGTTCATTGAAAATCGAAACTAAAGTGTCAGATTTGATTTTCGATGAATCAAACTGAATCGTTCAAGCCCAAATATCCACAGATATTTAACACAAACTGCAAAACTCTACATTCTCTCAGCATTTGTTCTGCCTTCAGTATTTTTCATTCATTGTCAGTGTACTCTAAGTATTGTTCTACATTGTAGAGTCTACACATTATAGTGCCATCAGAATACAGGGACACCAGAACAGAGCGCAGTTACTCGGAAATGAGTGACATTAGAATATTTCTAGAGTACAGATAGGATATAGTGACATCTTGATACAATGCTTGATTTAGCAAAATAAAACATGCACCAGTATAATGTTTAATAAAAAAATGCAACTTGATATTTATGTACGCAAGCATGTCATTCATTTTCAAATTTGGTTTGATCAATCGTTTTTGTCTTTGAACACACTCAGAACCTGTAAGAATTATTTACCATACTTCATCTCTAATCCCTGTCTTATGTTTTAATTTGTCATAGTTTTTAGACATGACATCGTGAAACTGGCCAATGTTTCAACTTTGAACATTTCATGCGACCAGGGTGCAAACTGGTTACATTTTTCCTTATCCTGACTCATGATCTTTTGCTTATCTCCTTCTATGCGAATGTTAGTGGAACACTTGAATCCCTTGTAGTTTCCTAAAGCGGATGTAAAACTTCACTCACCCACGAGTTACCTCCCTTTTCCTGCGCAAACAGTCATGTGACCAGCCATACTTGCCACTCTCTCCTTCATCGCCCAAGCGGATGGTTGGGCGAGCACTGGAGTCACGTATACGGCATTATATCCTTTTTATTTAGATCCTTTTATCAAACATGTGCGGTGTATGGTTTTCGGCTATAACTAGCTTGCATTATATGTAAAAAAATTGAAGAAATTATTTGTATTTTGTGACTTATTTCATCGTTATGTAGTTGTTTACATTTAATGAAATCTTGCAGTGTTTGCAGGTTCCGGCTATCAGTGGCTGACCCTTACCCCCAATGCCCATCATGCATTAATCCATGTTATTCCACCTTGCGTTGTAGATATTGCATTGGTTTATCAAATTTGCAATTTAACTTAATATTTGTCTTACATCTATAGATGTGCAATGGATCGGGTGAGGAAGTCATCACAAGTCACTGTTGATAAATCCGGAGATCAACTGTATGTTGTTTGCTACTGCAGAAATACATAATTCAAGTGCTTTGCCGAGTACGTTGCAGGGGCAGTCGTCTGTTACTGGGTCTAAGAAGAGGTCTGCTTTGACTGAGTTGACGGCTTCACAGAATAAGAAGAAAACGACTCCATCATCTGCAACGCAGAAGAGGTCATCTGTAACTAGATCAGCATCGAAATCAATGCGTCCTAGTAAGTCAACACATCAGAGGTCGTTTAGTGAAGAGATTGTCCCGCCCGATGAAGCAGACGTGTTTGCTGATCCTCCGATACTTCTGCCTGAAGTACCTATTAGACCTGCTAGAACGGCGACGCAGTTGACCTCCATGACTACACGATCATCTCCTGCAACTACGACAGCTGTCCAGCTGTTTGATGACCAACCATCAACTTCACAGACGTCAGTCATCAGAGACAACATCATTGAAGTAAAAGCACACAACACCTCAGCGTTCGCGAACACTTCGTCTACACCGCATCAATTCCAGACAACACACGATCTAAGGCTCGGCAGAACCTTACGATGGCAAGCAACGTTCCCAAACCCTCGGACCTGCGCGAACCTGATAGACTTACATCTACGCCTCACAGATCTACAACTGAAGATAACGTTCGCGAACGTTCACGTTCTCGAAGATCTTCACACTCGGACGACTCAGGCATCATGGACGAAGATGGAAGGTTCGCAAAGGTCCCTGAGACTACGAGAGCTACGACTGCCAATCCTTAACGTTCAAGAACGTCTTGGAAGCCCTGTCCGAGATCCAGTCGTTCCAGATCTAGATCCCACAGACGTTTGGAGGAACGTTCGCAAAAGAGAAGGTTCGGGAAGGCAAGGTTCACGAGAGAAAAGTTTGCGAAGGGATGGATCATGAGATGAAGGTTCGTGAAAGGAAGGTGTGCGGAAGGAGGGTTCGCGAAGGCATAGTTCAACTGACCAGGAACTATCTGATGAACAGGGTGACTACATCTTCTCAGAAGCGGAGGTCACATCTTGGATAGCTAATGGATTGGACTTAGAGTCCCCTCCAAGGAATTGGATGAAGCATACACATATAAGATGTGGAAGGACGACTTCGACTCTCTGACGATTCCACCAATTGAGCCGATATCCAAGGTGGCTACAAACCTATGTACAGCTTTTGAGAAAGCAACACGTTATCAGAACCAACATCTACCATCATTCAACGCGAGGAAATTTCCTCTGCATCACATGGACCCCTTCATAAGAGCGCCAGACTTAGACGACAATATGAAATTGTTGAACGACTCACAGAACAAGACTTATAAGGTGGAGGATAAAAAGTTGGCTCAACTGGATACCACGATGAGGAGATCTTTCTTCGGATTAGCAAGGTCTAGAGCAATCAATGAGGCATTGATTATGAAATTCCAGAACCCAAGGTCGGAAGAGTATAGGATGATACTATCAGCTCTGCTAAGAAAAAGGACCAATATTTCATATCGGACCATTTGGCCTAAACGTCGGAGGGTCTCATTATTACGGAGACAGGGTCTACTGGCATCTTGTTCCTGGAGTGACAGATTTACCCAACCGCTACTTAGAGCTCCTTGGGCGGTGGAGATTGATGAAGCAGCTGGGGAAGCTACTCACAACTTAAAAGATGATCAAGTCTATGAACACTTTAGCCAACTTCATTCGCCATACTTCACAGAAGTACAGCAGCAAGTCTAAATTGTCCGGTATTCAGAAGGCTAAGGAGAAAAAATACACCAGCTTCAGAGGCGGGAAGAGCACTTTTCATCGCCCATCCGGAAACTACAGAGGCAACCCTGGGAGAGGACGTAATCCCAGAGGTGCTAGAGGAACTAGACATTGAAATTGGGGTTCGGAACGACTGGACTTTTAAACCCCCAGCCGTTCCTGTACAACCATCGACAGTGGGTGGACGTCTACAAAGGTACTGGAAAATTGGGGAATACTAGAGGACGACTACGTCTCCCAAGTACTGCGAGAAGGATACAGAGTGCAACCCGATGGTCTTCGATTATGCAGAGGAGCAGGCAGACAAGTTACAAGAAGCCATCAACTGACTACTTATGAAGGATGCGGTAGAGATAATAGATCAACATCACCTCACACCAGGCTTTTAGTCCCCAATTTTCCTAGTACCCAAGAAGAATTCCAAAGAGAAATTCAGGTTGATTTACAACATGAAGAAATTGAACCAAGACTATCTACTCAAACCAGACAGGTTCAGAATGATCCACCTACCTCAACTCAGACAACTTGTCCGTCCAGCTGATTACATGGCCAGCATAGACCTTCAAGATGCATATCTACATATCCCAAATACATCAAGAATCAAGAAAATATCTAAGATTCCTATTCAGAGGTCAGCACTTCCAATGGAACGTCCTACCATTTGGAATAATGTCGGCTCCGTGGTTATTCACACGAGTAACCAAGCCTATCATCACTTATCTATATCTTCGAGGTCTACGCAGTGCCTTTTATCTGGATGACGGGATACAGGTTCATCAAGATGCCAATCAACTCAGACAGCAGTTAAACTTCACAATCAAATTGCTCACACAACTGGGATGGCTAGTGAACCTGATGAAGGCAGAGTTGGAACCAAAACAAGATCTTCAATTTCTGGGAATAAGGTTTATCACAAGACAGACTCGAATTGTGGTTCCAGTAGATCGTTGGGTCAAGATACAAGCCATGATTCCAGAAGCAGTCATCTCTCCGTTATAACTACGAACATGGCAATGTCTACTCGGTCTACTAACCTCAGCGCGGGACTTGACTCGCACAGGAAGACTACAACTACGTCCGTTGCAGCGTTTCCTGGCAAAACATCTGGACAGCGTCGATCTGATCACGCTACCAGACAATCTCAAGATATACATGCTATGGTGGACTCACAGATCGAATTTATGCGGGGGGACCTATTTACAAGAGCCGGCCTTCAACACACACCTTTACGTAGATGCATCACTACAAGGATGGGGTGCGCATCTCAACAACCAAGTAGCATCAGGAAAGTGGTCGAAACTAGAACAGCATCTTCACATCAATCTGCTGGAAATGAAAGCTGTGATCAACGACTTAGAACATTGGTCGAGCTCACTGACCAACAGAATGCTGATGGTCCACACGGACAACTTAACAGTGGCATTCTCCATAAATCGGCAGGGATCAACGAGATCACCGAGCCTACTTCAGCTCACATTCCAGTTGTTCAACATCACGGGGGAAGCAAACATCTGGCTAAAGGCGTGTCACATACCAGGAGCCAAGAACGTACTAGCAGACGCTCTATCTCGTCCACTTCTTCCGTCACCCATGAATGGATGCTTCACCCAGAGGCATTTTGGCTCATCATAAGGGAAATAGGATCTCCCTGCGTAGACCTGTTCACCACAAGGTTCAACAAACAACTTCAGACGTTCGTCTCACCGGTTCCAGATCCTCAGGCCTGGGCAACAGATGCACTGAGCATATCCTGGGAAGGACTAAACGCATACGCGTTTCCGCCTCCGATCTTACTACTGAAAGTACTATTGAAGATCAAACAGACCCAAGCGCTACATCTGACTTTGGTCGCTCCCTATTGGCCAGTGAGAGTCTGGTTCCTAGATCTAGTACAAGAACTAGGAAGTCCAACCCTCAAACTAGCAGAATGGCCGAACCTACTCATTCATCTGCACACCAAGCAAGTCCACGGGAACCCACTAATGTTCCAGTTACACGTGTGGACCATATCAAAATTTGTCTAAAGAAAAGAGGATACTCCGCCAGAGCAGCGAAAGCAGTACCCTTAGCGTTATGCAGATCAACTCGCAATTTGTACGATGACAAATGGCAGAAATTTGAACAATATGCAAGGCGGAAAGGCTTCACAGCTATGAAAGCATCTCATCCTCAGATGGCAGAATATCTATGTCACCTTAGATATACAAGGGGGGCTGTGGGGTAGCCTAGTGGTTAAAGCGTTGGCTCGTCACGCCGAAGACCCGGGTTCGATTCCCCACATGGGCACAATGTGTTAAGCCCATTTCTGGTGTCCCCCGCCGTGATATTGCTGGAATATTGCTAAAAGCGGCGTAAAACTAAACTCAGTCAGTCAGTAGATATACAAGGCATTTGAAAGGTTCGACATTATCCACATATCTGGCAGCGATTAGTACAGTCGTCACTATGAAGACAGGCATCAAATTGATGAAAGTACCTGAATTACTTGCACTGTTATGCTCTTTTAAACTGGAGGACCAGCTAAAGAAATTCAGAGCACCAGCATGGGATCTGAATGTAATTCTACGTCATCTCATGAGTGATGCCTACGAACCTTTAGTGCAGACTACCTTTGAGCTACTTACACAGAAAACTCTGTTCCTGCTTGCCCTAGCTACGGCAGCTCGAATGTCAGAGATACATGCGCTGGATTTTGGACGAACTAGATTCGACACGGGGCACCGTGCTGCAGTACGTCTAGGACTTAGATGGGATTTTATTGCAAAGAATCAACTACCTGGTCAACCAGATGGACAATTCCATGTTCCAGCGCTATCTACAATCCTCGGTCCAGAGGACACCCAGGACCTATCCTTGTGTCCGGTCAGAGCCCTGAAAATATATCTTCAAAAGACTAAAACAAGGAGAAGGAAATTCAAGCGTCTTTTCATCCCCTTGTTGACGGAGACATCGGTGGAAGTCTCAAGAACGACAATATTGTTTTGGATGAGGGCCATTATACTAAGAGCCTATAAAGCAGCAGGATTAGAACCTCCAGGAGCCTCCAATCCACATGAAGTCAGAGCACTGGCGTCTACACTTGCTCTACATGGAAATTGCTCAATATCATCAATTATGGAGGGCTGCTTTTGGAAGTCGGATACGGTGTTTGCCAACCACTACCTCAGAGACATAGCCGTCGAAGACGTCTCAGGCATTCACCACTTTGGGCCTCTTGTTGTAGCACAACGACTAACGGTTTCCACAAAGGCGCTGAGTTGGAAATCTCACCCTTTATCACGTTGACTTGTTGATAACTTTTACTGAGGAAAAGTTTTAGTTTGAAAGTCCATGCACAGTTTAGACTAAACTAGCATGAGTGATTAAGACTTACCTGTACGTGAAGGGGTTGCAACTCATTTATGATAACGATCTTATCATAAATGTCCTGTAGAGAGATACAGGTCGTATCTAAGGACAGCTGATGAATTCGCGAAGTGGCTTGACCCACCATCAATCTGTCGGATGCTATAAGCAAAAGATCATGAGTCAGGATAAGGAAAAATATGTAATTTTTTAAGTAAAATTGATATTTTATACTTATCCTGACTCATGAGGTCAAGCCCTCCCAACCTCCCTGCTGAAGACACTTCGGATTTCACAGTAGATCCAAGTGCATGGGCTAAATTCAGGAGAGAGTGGCAAGTATGGATGGTCACATGACTGTTTGCGTGGGAAAAGGGAGGTAACTCGTGGGTGAGTGAACTTTTATGTCCGCTTTAGGGAACTGCAAGGGATTCAAGTGTTCAACTAACATTGGCATAGAAGAAGGAAATAAGCAAAAGATCATGAGTCAGGATAAGTATAAAATATCATTTTTACTTTAAAAATTAAATATTTTTCCAAAATTTAGTTTTCATGTCAACAAGCAGTACCGGTAGGTGTAATTTAAATCCAGGATCCGGTTGTATCATTGCTTCATTAACTAATGTCAACATTAAACCCTAATGATACATTAAATCCTTAATGCATCATTAGTTAATGACAACATTAAACACGGTTGTATCAAACACTTATTAGCGAATCATTATCTAATGATGTCCTAATGTAAATATTTTCATTAAATTCGGGGATTCCCCGAAATATTTCCCACAATTCCGCGACGTAAACACGTAAGCGTTACTCTCGGTCATCCGTCAAAATGGCATCTTTACGGCTAAACCTCGGAACAAAAACAAACATTTTGACTGCTGTGAAGAAACACATCTAAATAATTCTGAAACGTCGCCGATAAACCTAGAATTGGTTGGGATGTTTTGGAAAATTCACGAACACGAACTCCGAAGTGAGCTTTCCACCATATTGGATAGTGTTTACAAAATCAAGTTTCGCTAAGGCTGGTCATATGACGCCTATTACATCACGTATATTTCATATTCAGTTGTGACAAATGCATCGCTGAATTCCTCATACATTTTAGAATCAACTTACAAATGGTCTTTGTCACTAAAACCGAGTATCTAGAAAAAAACGAAACATGTTGGGTGTGAAAACGGAGAGTTGTGCTCATAGCACAGCGCTTGCTAGAAAAGGAAACAAAGCGGAAATCAGATTTTATACTGGGCAGTATTTTCTCAAGTTTTTTACATCAGATTGTCTATTCATAGCATGCATGAGCTCAATACTTTTAGAATATTCCCGGAAAGAGTATCGTAGCAAGAACTAGAAAATTAAAAACAGATACAATACAGAAATTTTATATATTCATTCGAAAGTTCTGTGCAGCGTGACACCATGCCAGACGCAAAATCATGGCGAACGACAGGCAATTATCGGCATTTTTGACTTTTTCAATGAAAACAAAAAAACAAATAACCACAGGCAGATAGTCAGAATGTTTCTGACTACTTACATCATACATTTATGGATAAAGGTTCCCTTGCAAAATCTTGGGCATCCATATCCACAAAGCCGTCATTTTATGAGAAATCGGTCATCGGTAGTGATGTCATACGTCAACATTGTTGGACATATTTGGCAATTTCTTTGAGGTGAAGGTCGGTTGAATAAGATTAAACACAATCACACTGCCCTATGGAGTACACTTTTAGTATTAATGTATACTTTGCGTATAATGAAATGTATATATATGCACACGTTATTAAAGGATATATATCTTGTTTATTGAATTTGTTTATGTTGTGTAATAGACGAAAACAATGGTGTATAATCATTTGCCAGGTGTGCGTTTGTCACAAATGTTTTGAGTGTCATTGTTTTCGATAATTCCGTGAACAAAACATCACGAAAATATAGTGTCCTTATTCACAGCAATGCTCTCGAAGTGATCTGAGTTACAATGACTTAGTATTAAGCATAGCGGAGTGATGCCCCCTTATCTTAAGCGTATGACCTTTTTGTAGCCATTTGACGTCATAGGGGGAAATCCATTTTCAACACATATTGCGAGTCATTTTTAAGACTGACTGTATAACGTTATACATAAGCACACAAACTAATTTAATACATACTTATGTCGTTCAGGTATCAGGCAGACTTTTGTTCGCTCACACTTTCCGTAAAGATGCCAAATTTGAAAATATAGTAGCACAGTACTTTTATCAGTACACGATAAAAAGCAGAGAAATTTACTGTTTTAACACATACCAAAATTAGGGGTAACATTTAGCAGTGTCTACTTTTCAAACTGAGTTTATACCATGAGATAGGACATTTAATACTCTACATTTCTATGTAATTTTATAGCTGTAGGTAGATCCAGTGCTGCGCAAACAAAATTCTGGCGTAATGTTCACTTTTCCAGGAAGTTTAATGATGCCCTTATGATACCCCAAAACCTTCATTAAGTTAATGACGTGCTAATGACAACACAACGTCATTAAAATGTTAGTACAACAGAATTTTATCATGTTCAACATCTGTTGGTGTGGAAAAGACAAATTCAGCGATTAATATAAACAGCCAAGATCACTTGTGTTGTAGGTATATTATTCAGTATGTACATATTGATTGTCAGGACTTCATGCCAAGGATGCTGAGTCAATTGGATCATTTGATACTCCTGAAGAGAGATACCACAAGCTGAGGAAGGCAAGTGAACAGTGTCTGCCTGAATTGCACCTTGTCAGCCAGGATTTTTTCTTGTGTCTGTCTCCATTGTTCGGTGAACATATTTTAGTCTGAAATTAACATCCTAAAGTTTGAAGTGAATAGTTTAATTATACTGTTTGTAGAGTTGTACATTTTATGATGGCAGCATTGCTGCACTTTCAGTGTGTGAACTATAACTTTTTCTAAACTTGAATACTCAGTATTAGTGTGGCAACTTTATTTTCAGTGTTTACGTTTTATTTTCAGTGTGCCTATAATCCATACTTTTATTTCAGGGTGCAGCACAGTTTTTACTTGTACAGTTTGGCCTAGCAGCTTTTAAATATGATCCAGAGACAAAAAGGTATAGGTGCATGGTATATGCATGTACATTGTACTGCATCAGAACATAACATCCTTGATATAGCCCTTCTATCTTAAAATGATCTTACTACATAAGATGTACAATGATGTACGGGGTGGTGGGGTAGCCTAGTGGTTAAAGTATTTGCTCGCCCTGCTGAAGACCCGGGTTCGAAGACATGGGTACAATGTGTGAAGCCCATTTCTGGTGTCACCCGTCATGATTTTGCTGGAATTTTGCGAAAAGCGTTGGAAAACTAAACTCACAATGATGTAGATGTGTAGTGTATATATAAAATGTGATAACTCATGCTACATGTTTGTAGGGGCGGTGGGGTAGCCTAATGGTTAAAGCGTTGACTCGTCACGCTGAAGACCCGGGTTCGAATCCCCACATGGGTACAATGTGTGAAGCCCATTTCTGGTGTCCCCCGACGTGATATTGCTGGAATATTGCTAAAAGCGGCGTAAAACCAAAATCAGTCAGTCAGTCAGACATGTTTGTATAAAATAAATTATTTCCTATCGTGATCCACTTTGTGCTAATTCCCAGTCCCTTCGATCCCACAACCAAAACATGCCACTCCACAAGGAGCACTCTCAACCAGATCACTGATCAGTGTGATTCTTGTTGGAGACTCACTTTTCTTTACATTGAACTTCAATGTGGCTACAAAGCAGATTTTCTTATCCTTTTGTATTGAACACAGAATTTGATTTAATTTATTACTTTTGGATAAATGCTTGTTTTGGACTTAATATTTGTGACTGATAGCTGCCAGACAAAACATTGTCACCCCTCCCAAAGTGTGGAAGCTGCATCTGGATCTATTACAGCAGATATGCCGAGATGGATGTGCCTAACACCGATCTCTTAGCCAATAACCACTTCCAGTATTCATGTCACCAGTTCAAATCCACCAGCTTGGGGTCAAGATACACATTCCTGCCTCCAGCACAGTTACCTAGAGTTGTACACAAATGTAGGGAGATGCAGATAACCCATTGTGTTAGTGGCTTAGTTTCCCATGGTTCCTGGAGTTGATGACTTCACACACACAAAGTACTGAAAGGCACATCCACCATTGGAACCAGAGGCTCTGCCCATGTGGATCATCTACAAAGGGTGTTAATGACCAGAGGTTTCTCCATGAAAGTGGCACAAGTAGTAGTTATGGTGCATCATAACTCTACTACAGTGATTTATGACTCCCATGGCTCACAGGAAGAATTCAATCCAGTGTTACTAGATATTTTGTCTTATGTCATCATGTCAGATATTTTGAAGGTTGGGTTTTTTAATCTTCTTGTGATTTGCCACCACTTATTGTCCCCATTCATGTAAATTCAAATTTACATGATTTAGCTCTTCATTTAAAATGTAGTATATTTAAGTATCAACTTATTCCTGACCTCTAAAGCATCTCCAATATGCAGTGACAGTCACGTCCCAGCGTATTGTTTCAGTTACACAGCCCGACCGTTCAACATGTATGTATTCCCACGTCCGTTCAGCCGCCAGGCTCCAGATCGACGATTTCTCTGTCAGGTCAGTACCCAGCACCAATATTTGGATTTTCATCTCAGTGGAAATGTCCTCCACAAATAGTTTAAGAGAGTTCTGTTCGCATGGATTCAACAAGTCCTAGAATTTTCTGTTGGTCAATAGGACGATGATCTTGACCTTCACTGAAGACTGACATTACCAGTTGGACACCTGCTGTCATCACTGCAGCTTAACAGTGATTCTTCAGTGTAGGCCCATGAGTTTCTTACTCCCACTGTTTTCAGACTACTACTACAACTTAGGCCTTGACATCATTAATTAAATAACTGTAAAAGCGTTTCAAATGTTTCATTCCAATGACCATGGTGTGAAGCCCATTTCAGGTGTCACTCACTAAATGACCGTGTAAATATTATTGAAATGCAAACCTCTTAAATACAGGCCTAGTTATGCTAAGATTATCATCAGTGATCGTGAACTGGTATAGACAGTTCGAGTGGTGAATGGTTTCCTTCTGAAATAATCTTGACAAATATCTTATGGATTTGTATAACCTATATTACTCCAATCTGATTATGTTCAGATCTTGTACAGATCTGTCCCCTCCCTCCATCAGGCTGTACAGCTGAAGGCAAGGCTTTTAAGATAAACAATTCAGCTGGCAGCCTTGAGCAGCACTTCATAGGCAGTAGTGTTTTGTGTAGTAGAAATGAAATGGTGACAAGTTCCTGACACCACTGACACATCATGATTATCTTCTACACAGCACAGGTATATTATTCACCTTTAGCAACTGTCCATTTATAATCATTTTCACAATGTTAAGTAATTTTGTATGTAACTCTGAAAGCTTTGCTCACTTTAATAGACAAGAAGTTTCCATTATTATTTGGCTGGTTAGAAAGTTAACCTGTTGTGATCTGATATAGAGGGCTAGTCAGATCTGGATTGAGATAGGTATTGAATTAAGTAACGAGGTTGTACCTTTGTCTGTCTTGTGTGAATATTTTTGGTTGCCATGTTTATACCTCTCTGGGGAACAATCATTTTCGATATTAATCATTTGTGTAGCTAAAATATTTTGGTTATATGTATTTATTAACACCTCACCTTCACATCCTGACTGTTGCAGGCTTCAAGTATTGACTTCCTTGTGTCTCAGAATTTTGATTTCAACAAGTTGTTTAGAGAAGGTAAGTGATTGGATGAATGAGGCTTATGGCTGTTTCAGACAGTATCACATATATATCATGTATTTTCTGCCTGCTCCCATAAGACTGGGGTTAGATCAGGTTCCCAACAATCTACTGCTTGTGAGAGTTAGATCAGGTGGTCAGTAGCCAATACTTTTAGACACTGACTTGATAGACACTGACAGACACTGATAGACATAGACATGACAGACACTGACATGATAGATACTGTCTTGATAGACACTGTCTTGATAGACACTGACATGATAGACATAGACATGATAGACACTGATATGATAGACACTGACATGATAGACATTGACTTGATAGACATTGACATGATAGACATAGACATGATAGACACTGACATAATAGACATAGACATGATAGACACTGTCTTGATAGACATAGACATGAAATACACTGACATGATAGACATTGACTTGATAGACATAGACATGACAGACACTGACATGAAAGACACTGCCTTGATAGACACTGCCATGATAGACCCTGACTTGATAGACATAGACATTGACATGATAGACCCTGACTTGATAGACACTGTCTTGATAGACACTGACATGATAGACACTGACATGATAGACATAGACATGATAGACATTGACATGATAGACACTGTCTTGATAGACACTGACATGATAGACATAGACATGATAGACTGGCATGATAGACCCTGACATGATAGACCCTGACATGATAGACACTGACTTGATAGACATAGACATGATAGACTGGCATGATAGTCACTGACATGATAGACCCTGACATGATAGACACTGACTTGATAGACATAGACATGATAGACACTGACTTGATAGGCACTGACATGATAGACACTGACATGATAGACATAGACATGATAGACATAGACATGAAAGGCACTGACTTGATAGACACAGACATGATAGACACTGACTTAATAGTCACTGACATGATAGACACTGACTTGATAGACAGACATGATAGACCCTGACATGATAGACATTGACTTGATAGACATAGACATGATAGACACTGTCTTGATAGATACTGACATGATAGACACTGACATGATAGACACTGACATGATAGACACTGACTTGATAGACCCTGACATGATAGACACTGACTTGATAGACATAGACATGATAGACACTCTCTTGATAGACACTGACATGATGAGACACTGACATGATAGACACTGACATGATAGACACTGACATGATAGACATAGACATGAAAGACATAGACATGATAGACACAGACATGATAGACATAGACATGATAGACATTGACATGATAGACATAGACATGATAGACATGGACTTGATAGACATAGACATGATAGACACTGACATGATAGGCACTGACATGATAGACACTGACATGATAGACACTGATGGACAGACATGATAGACCCTGACATGATAGACACTGACTTGATAGACACTGACATGATAGACATAGACATGATAGACACTGATGGACAGACATGATAGACATTGACATGATAGACACTGACTTGATAGACACTGACATGATAGACACTGACATGATAGACACTGACTTGATAGACATAGACATGATAGACACTTACATGATAGGCACTGACATGATAGACACTGGATGATAGATAGACATGATAGACACTGACTTGATAGACATAGACATGATAGACACAGACATGATAGACTGACATGACTGACATGATAGACACTGACTTGATAGACATGACATGATAGACACATTGACATGATAGACATGGGCATGATAGACCCTGACATGATAGACCCTGACATGATAGACACTGACATGATAGACATAGACATGATAGACTGGCATGATAGACACTGACATGATAGACCCTGACATGATAGACACTGACTTGATAGACATAGACATGATAGACACTGACTTGATAGACACTGACATGATAGACACTGACATGATAGACATAGACATGCGATAGGCACTGACATGATAGACACAGACATGATGACTGACTTAATGACATGATAGACTCCTGACATGATAGACACTGACTTGATAGACACAGACATGATAGACCCTGACATGATAGACATTGACTTGATAGACATAGACATGATAGACACTGTCTTGATAGATACTGACATGATAGACACTGACATGATAGACACTGACATGATAGACACTGACATGATAGACACTGACTTGATAGACCCTGACATGATAGACACTGACTTGATAGACATAGACATGATAGACACTCTCTTGATAGACACTGACATGAGAGACACTGACATGATAGACCCTGACATGATAGACACTGACATGATAGACATAGAGATGAAAGGCACTGACATGATAGACATAGACATGGACATGATAGACATAGACATGATAGACATGGACTTGATAGACATAGACATGATAGACACTTACATGATAGGCACTGACATGATAGACACTGACATGATAGACACTGATGGACAGACATGATAGACCCTGACATGATAGACACTGACTTGATAGACACTGACATGATAGACATAGACATGATAGACACTGATGGACAGACATGATAGACACATGATAGACATTGACATGATAGACACTGACTTGATAGACACTGACATGATAGACACTGACATGATAGACACTGACTTGATAGACATAGACATGATAGACACAGACATGATAGGCACTGACATGATAGACACTGACATGATAGACATAGACATGATAGACATAGACATGATAGACATAGACATGATAGACACATGATAGGCACTGACATGATAGACACTGACATGATAGACATAGACATGATAGACATTGACATGATAGACATTGACATGATAGACATAGACATGATAGACCCTGACATGATAGACACTGACATGATAGACATAGACATGAAAGGCACTGACATGATAGACATAGACATGGACATGATAGACATAGACATGAGACATAGACATGATAGACTTGATAGACACTGACATGATAGACATGACATGATAGACACTGACATGATAGACATAGACATGATAGACATTGACATGATAGACATTGACATGATAGACATTGACATGATAGACACTGACATGATAGACACTGACATGATAGACACTGACATGATAGACACTGACTTGATAGACATAGACATGATAGACACTTACATGATAGACACTTGACATGATAGACATAGACATGATAAACATAGACATGATAGACATAGACATGATAGACAGACATGATAGACACTGACATGATAGACATAGACATGATAGACATTGACATGATAGACATTGACATGATAGACATTGACATGTTAGACATAGACATGATAGACATGGACATGATAGACACTTACATGATAGACATAGACATGATAGACACTGACATGATAGACATAGACATGATAGACATAGACATGATAGACACTTACATGATAGACACTGACATGATAGACACTGACATGATAGACATAGACATGATAGACATTGACATGATAGACATTGACATGATAGACATTGACATGATAGACATAGACATGATAGACATAGACATGATAGACATTGACATGTTAGACACTGACTTGATAGACATTGACATGATAGACATAGACATGATAGACATAGACATGATAGACATTGACATGATAGACATAGACATGATAGACATTGACATGATAGACATGACATGATAGACATAGACATGATAGGCATTGACATGTTAGACAATACATGTTGAAAGTCACCCCACAAGCATGGTATTCTGGAAATAGGTAACCAACTGGTTACATTAAGGAAGTGTCTACATGTGTGATGTCTTCAACTGACGTTTTGTAAGTAAGAGCAGTCATTTAGATGTTGGTGTGCCAATATCTATCTTGCTATGTGACGTGTTGAAACTGTCCAGGTATATCCTACTTGACCCCACCACAAGAAGAACACCTGAAGGAGTCAATCAAGAAGAGGAATGCTGAACACGCTCAGCTGTCATCTCCGGCCTTCACCAGTCCCCATGGGGCAAGTGCTGGTCCCAACAAGGGGCCAGTAGAGGTCCCAGATGATCAGAAGGACTTCATTGACAATATCTGGTAAGCTGGCAAGTCTGACAGATGTATGTTTTGTATTGGTGAAACAGATTTCATACCTGTAGAAAACATGATGATCAGTGAGTGTGTTTGGATTTTTTATTAAATACTGATTAGTCTTCCAGTTTGATACTTAAGCCACCAATCTTGCAGTTGTCATCTAGTTTCTTGTGTCATCTAAGCTTGATTTGTAATATACAACTATTAACTTAAAAATCTACTAGAAAATGATCGCACTTCAGACGAGTGGGTTCAAATTGTTTTGTCACAAACATTTGTTTTGTCCCCGAAAGAATCCGCAACAAACATATTCAAATTGCCCAGTAGATTTTGTCCCTTGTACAGGAACTAATTGTTGTGTATTTACAGTGAACAAATCAAGGACTACATCGCCCAGGCAACCAAGGAGCCCTTACAATTGCCCCAGTGTTCGGCATTCCAGAGGAAACTTATCTACCAGACAGCCAGACTCAAGTGAGTCAACCGCCAAAGTACTGATTGTCAGATGTATGTTGTTGGAGTAAAGCTCAATCCTGTCATTTGGAGATGTTTGACAGATACAGGCACCTGTAAAATTGGATAAGTTGTAACATAACACTGTAGGGATTCTTGTTGGTATGTGTGACGGCCAAATAAAATGTGGATGAAATGTCTTGGCTCTGTGACGTGGCTGATGATGTGTTTCATATGACATGGGGACTGTGGTGATGACAGTGTTGGCTTGTCCACACTGGTAGCCTTGATTTGATGGTATGATACAATGTGTGAACACCATCCTCAGTGTACAGTGTTAGAATAGTTCTTCCTCATGCATTTATTATACACAAGTGGCATGGATTGTTGCTCATGATATTAACCCCATGTTTGTCTTACTCATTTGCTTACTGTCTCATTTGGTATAGGTGTAATACTGTTGACTGTGCATAAAATACTATACACCTCCTGTGTTAAATGTATGTATGTACATCACCTAGCCAGTGACTAGTGTTGCTCTCTGCCAGGTACTCCAACATCCACCTGGAGACGAAGATTGGGGAGAAGAAGGAGCGCTACATCGTGGTGACAGCTGTGGATTGTGAGAAGGACCTGAGGGACAAGGAGAAGGCCAAGATGGAGGCTGAGATGGTGAGACTGACTAAAGCTTCAGCTCAACTGGTCCTCGACGATCACAGCTGATGCAGCATGGTTTCACAGCATGGCCTTCACAGCATTGCAGACATTCAGTGATATTGACCATTTATCAGTTACCATTGGTACTATGTGACTTCCAGACTAATCAGTCAAAACTGAAGAGGTACACACTGTCCTGTCATCGATTTATAAACAACTTACAGCAATTGTAATGCCATGCATATATTGTCCAATGTTTCAATCAAGGAGAGAGTCATGCATATATTGTCCCTGTCTCAAGGAGAGTCATGCATATATTGTCCCTGTCTCCAGGAGAATCATGCATATATTGTCCCTGTCTGTAGGAGAGTCATGCATATATTGTCCCGGTCTCCAGGAGAATCATGCATATATTATCCCTGTCTCAAGGAGAATCATGCATATATTGTCCCTGTCTGTAGGAGAGTCATGCATATATTGTCCCGGTCTCCAGGAGAATCATGCATATATTATCCCTGTCTCAAGGAGAGTTATGCATATATTGGCCGTCTCAAGGAGAGTCATGCATATATTGTCCCTGTCTCCAGGAGAATCATGCATATATTGTCCCTGTCTCAAGGAGAGTCATGCATATATTGTCCCTGTCTCCAGGAGAATCATGCATATATTGTCCCTGTCTCAAGGAGAGTCATGCATATATTGTCCGTCTCAAGGAGTCATGCATATATTGTCCGTCTCAAGGAGAGTCATGCATATATTGTCCCTGTCTCCAGGAAAATCATGCATATATTGTCCCTGTCTCCAGGAGAGTCATGCATATATTGTCCCGGTCTCCAGGAGAATCATGCATATATTATCCCTGTCTAGGAGAATCATGCATACATTGTCCTTATTTGTCCAGTAGAGAGTGTGGCATGTATTGTCCCTATTGTCCCCTATAATAATGGACTGTCACTGTTTCCAGGCCGAGGTGGATGAAGCTATTGGTTTCTGTAAAGTCACACAGCTGCTGTCACAGTCTGTGAGTAATCAACAGTTGTTCTGACATTCAGATGCATTGAAAAGATTACAGTTAGCCTATATCTTATACAACTAAACTCACTCACTCACTCATTATACAAGAGGAGTTTCATAAGTTATGCTACAAATGCATTTGCTCTTTACTGTTTTAATGTTTATACAATAAGTAGGTCCCCATTGAAATACCATTTAACATGTTTAAGTAACAGTGCAAACAGATTTCACTTGCATTGAGTCTCTACTAGCAGGAGTACAAAAGTACTAAAAACAAATCTGGTCAATGCCACAGTGCAAACCTAGTTGCCAGTTATACCTCAGTAGGCGGCTGGCTTGCCGCACTTTGTCTGAAGAAATGGAACCTTTATGAATTCTTGTTTGTACAAGGTTTCAGGGCTACTTCAGACCTTGATAGACCCACTGTGTGGGCCCACATTGTTACAGAGCACTATTGGTGTTGCAGGGCAAGCTGGTTATCGGACACAACATGCTGTTGGATCTCATCCATGTCATCAACCAGTTCAACTTCCCCCTCCCAGAGGTAGCAACAAACTTACCATTGTACACAACACGTACCCAAGAGATGGTTGCAAGTCAATATGTCATCCAAATCTAACAGTTATATGCATATGAGTATCATATTAACATACTTAATAGGTGAACATTCTGTGTTTTCCATGTAAAGGTAGGTTGTCTGTAGATTTGTCCACATCAAATTTCATTTGGAACTAACCTACTCTAAACATCATCATTCCAAAATTCCAAATGAGAGTAAAGTATTTTTCTGTACATACTAGCTTACATGGTGATACAGCAGTCGAATCTGCTGTTATAACATGTTAAAGGTGGTTATTGTGATTTACAACTTCTAATTGACCAATCAGTATTCAGCATTTTCCACATTTACAGTAGAATATGGTGTCAAGGAAGTTTTGGTAATGTGATGTTTCATTTCTGTGACATTTATACAAAGCTGACACAACCCAGAGCCAAGACACATCAAGTGATTGAAATTACAGTTTATTGTGAAGGTGATGTTGCAGGCAATTGTATGACTGAAGATAAGAATCAGTAAAGATGAACAATTCATGTGTGATGAGTTCTTGTTTCCCCTCCAGGAATATGAAGAGTTCAAGGCAATGGTGAAATGTTGCCTTCCAAGGTCAGTGACAGAGACTTTACTCTACTGTGTTTATTTGTCAAACACCTATCAGAGGTCAGGATAAGTAAATAGATCCTGTGCTATATGTTCTATTTTTTATCCCCTGCAACGCATTTGGTGGGAGGTATTAAAATGGACTCCCTCCGTCCGTCCGTCCGTGCGTGCGTGCGTCCGTGCACATTTGTCTTTTCCGGAGCAGAACTGTAAAACCGTTCACTATTTCTTCACCAAACTTGGCACATAGATAGATCTGGTGGTGTACTGGTTCCTTTTGGTAGTTTTGGAATTCTGAATAAAATATTTTTGGCATTTCCATGGCAACAAGTTTGACTAAAACAGAAATTAGTGGTAGTGCACTTTTCCGGAGCAGAACACTAAAACCGTTCAAAGTTTCTTCACCAAACTTGGCACATACATAGATTTGGTGGTGTACTGGTGCCTTTTGGTAGTTTTGGATTTCTGAATAAAATATTTTTGGCATTTCCATGGCAACAAGTTTGACATAGACTGAAATTGGTGATAGTGCTCCTTTCTGGAGCAGAACTTTAAAAACCTTTCAATACTCTCCTTCCACTTTTCTATATACACACCTAAATATTTGACATAATCATAACTCGTAGACATAATCATGAAGAGTATTTTTGCCATTGAGGGGGAATATTGATGACTTTGTCTTCTTGTTTTGGATTTGTAAATAAAATATATTTTGCGTTTCCATGGCAACAAGTTTGATTTTGACTGAAATTGGTGGTAGTGCTCTTTTCCGGAGCTGAACTTTAAAACCATTCAATGTTTCTTCACCAAACTTGACACATAGATTGGTCTGTTGGTGTACTGGTGCCTTTTGGTAGTTTTGGATTTCTGAATAAAATATTTTTGGCATTTCCATGGCAACAAGTTTGACATAGAGTGAAACTGGTGATGATAGTGCTCCTTTCTGGAGCAGAACTTTAAAAAACCTTTCAATACTCTCTTTCCACTTTTCTATATACACACCTAAATATTTGACATAATCATAACTCGTAGACATAATCATGAAGAGTATTTTGCCATTGAGGGGGATATTGATGACTTTGTCTTCTTGTTAAATTTCAATATTTGATTGATTTGTTTATTATCTAAATCCTTCAAACAATAAGGCAACATCTGGTATAGGGCTGTACTGATCACTACTATGAAGCCTTTATGTAACAATGTGTTGGTATATTATTCTCCAGATTGCTGGACACAAAACTGATGGCCAGTACAGCTCCATTCAAGGTACATGTCACATTATATTAACTGACAATGACTTGTGTTCCCTGAGTAACTGAACTATGTATTTCAGTGTGTTCTCATGATAGGACACCCTGATATAAGTCACTTATCACCAAGTTAATGTTCAGATCACAAGACTTTACACATTCAAGGTAGTTAAACACTGATTGAGACCTCATTATTTTAAACTTGAACTCAGTGCCCAGACATGAGGACTGTGTTTGAGTGAGCCGCTGGTTCCTCTTGCCAGTACTTGCTGCTGTCCTTGTGAAAGTTCACCTATTCAGCAGGTAGCGTAGTTGGCATGATTTGCATACTTTACTTATGTATGTCTTCAAGTATCGATGGCTTACAGTTTATATTGGTGCTGACTTCATTCTCTCTCCCCCAGGATCTCATCATCAACACAGCATTGGGAGATTTACGCAGGACTGTTGAAGCTAAACCTTTTGTAAAGCCCCAGGTTGGTAGGTAAACCTGTAACCATGGTAACAGCTTGGAGGTGGCAGCCTGGTACTGCTATGGTGTGTATAACAGATGCTGATGTAGGTAGAAGTCAGCTAGTGCTAGACAGAGTGAGCTGGGTTTGGCTCCACACTGGACAGTATGTCAGTTGTGCCTTTGATGAGGGAAACGTTCTGTGAATCACATTCAAGTTATTTTAGAAAAGTCTAAAATGATGGATGTGCATTGGCCTTGTGTATGAGAAGAAAGTTCAGTTCATGGATACACCAATGACTTGTGGTTAGGCTCAGTGTCCTGGTTGTTGCTCATCATTGTGTCCTAATTGTAATCCTTATGATGTCAACCTGTGGATTGTCTGGTCCAGACTTGACTGTTTACAGATTGTCGTGTATTGAGGACTGTAATATTGTAGCCAGATCTTTTGCTTTCACCTATTCATCATGGAAGATTCTTATTCCATTTCCATAATTTGACTTGAACACAGCACTGAGGTCACCTCTGTTGCTATGTGATATGGTGACCATGGTTACTATGTGTATTCCAGATCTTCCAGAGGAGTTTTCCAAATATGGTTCAGAGACAGAGTTTCTGCACGAGGCAGGCTATGACGCGTACATCACAGGAATTGCTTTCATAGGCATGGCAAACTTTCTTGGTGAGGACTAAATTCACTAACTCGGACAACATCACAATGACATTACAACTAAATACTGCTTGCATCCAGGCTATTATGAGGATCTTTCTTTTGTAATCACCCGTGAAGATCCGGGTTAGAATTGATCTTCAGTAACCCATGCTTGTCATAAGAGCTGACTAACAGGATCGTGGTCAGGGTCGCTTACTTGTTTGACACATGTCATCGTATCCCAACTGCGTAGATCGATGCTCATGCTGTTGATCACAGGATTGTCTGGTCCAGATTCGACATTTACAGACTGTCACCATATAGCTGGAATATTGCTGTGTGCGGTGTAAAACTAAACTCACTCACTTAACTCACTCAATTTCTTTTGTAATCCATACAAATGTATTTACCTCATCCTCCCACTATGCAAATAAATATGTATTCTTATCAAGTGTTTATGTGTTAAGATATCAAGAAAACTAAACAAAGTTGCTTAGAGACATTAAGGCGAGAAGGTCGTGATAGTATGACAAAGACAACATGGACAAACGTTTTGATTATTTATTGTTCAAGCATGTGACCTTTCTTAGGATCTATTTTTGGGGGGGATGTTTAGCTTTAAATATGTCATGAATCAGTTCTGTTCCCTGTCATGCGTCATGTGTAGGTTTATGTAGCTAGTTGAATAAAAGGTGTTATTTGATTTCAATCAACTTAAATGTGTTAATATAATTTGTTGATGTGATGTTTAGCATAAAGTTGGTGTTTTTTAACAGGTACATACCAGCAGCCCCCCAAAGACTGGATCTCTCCACAGTCACCTCTCATCGAGCCTTTTGTCAACAAGTGAGTAGACCCCATACATCCTCCTGGTGGGGATTTCGTTGAGATAAAGGGTTCCCAGCAACTGGTGCTTGTTGTAAGGGATGGCCAAATGGTTGGATTGGTCAGACTCGCTAGACTGGTCTGTCACGTGATGCAGCTTCGATGTTTACCCCAAACTAAACATTGGCATAAAGCATATTTGTCAGATTTTTAAACATCATTAATTTTTTACTCCTGATTCCTTGATTACTGTTTGCACAAATTACAGCAACTTACATATTAGTAACAACACTGAAGATGCCTTTAGTTTTCAACTCAGGGAATCAATCGTAACCGGGATTCGTTGTGTGGAGTAGAACTGAGGATAAAAGGCTGCTTGTGGACCCCTAAACAGGATTTTCAGTCATGAGAAGCTAGTGACAAATGTTCGTTGTTAATTGTTTCACTCGCTCAACAACATATGCAGTGTTGGAATTTTGTATGATTATTAGAAACAGCCACACCTGAACACCTCTTGCTTAATGTCTGATTGTGTTGGTACTTTAGGCCACCACCCCAGAATAGTTGTGAATGTTAAGCCAATTACAGAGCGTGTGAATTCAGTGATTTTTCTTTATCCTGACTCATGCTAATTATGCGGGGCGGTGGGGTAGTCTAGTGGTTAAAGCGTCGGCTCATCACGCCGAAGACCCGGGATCAAATCCCCACATGGGTACAATGAATGAAGCCCATTTCTGGTGTCCCCTGCTGTGATATTGCTGGAATATTGCTAAAAGCGGCGTAAAACCAAACTCAGTCAGTCAGTCAGGCATGCTAATTATGCTTGTCTCCTTCCTCTTGCAAATGATAGTGGAACACTTGAAATCCCTTGAAATTCCCTTTAAAAAAGCGGACGTAAAATCACTCACCCAAGAGTAGCATCCCTTTCCTCCCTTTTGCGCCCAAATGGTCACATGATCGGCCATATTTGTCACTCTCTCCTTCTTCACCCTTGAGGACGGTTGTGAGAGCACCTATACAGCACATATCCTTTTATATTTTCGGACCTTACATCAAAATCATTGCTGTATACAGTTTTTAGGATTATATTCTACATTACGGTTTGAAATTTTATCTAAATTTTCCATTGTTTGACATGTGTTTTCTTCATGTTTACAATTGATGAAAACTTATATTCGTTGTAGGTACCGAGTGTCTGCGACTGACCCGCATTTATTATGTCCTAATTGCACTGTGTCATGTTCTCTGCTCTCGCTGTGAGTTTTGTGTAAATTTAAATTTGGTTGAATTTACTAATTATTTTTTTTCCATCCATAGACGTGCTAAGGACTGGGTACGTAGGTATTCACAAGTCATGTCTAAATCGGGGGATTGCGCTGATAACCGTGTGTTAACCACTGCTGCAGATATTCATAATTCTAGTGCAGGAGCAGGTCGATGTACCAGGGGTGAACGCCGGAGGCCAGATGAGATCATCGTCTACTGAGCTGACCTCATCGCAGATAAAGAAGGCCAAATCTTCATCTTCGCAGAAGCAGAAGTTTACTACTATGAAGACTTTAGCAAAGTCTAAGATCAGCTCTACTCAGAAGGCGAGGTCTTTCTCATCCGAGATTGTTCCTCCGGAAGAAGAAGCAGATGTTTATGATGATCCTCCCATCCTCATACCTGAAGTCTCCATCGTCAGTAAGAAGACGAAGCCTGCTTCTACAGCTACATCGGCATTGTTATCAGCGCAGACATTGACAGAAGACCTTCTATCAACGCAGACATCGGGTACCAGAGATAGCAGCAGCGTCAACTCTTCACGAGTGCAGCGAGCCTTAGATGACGTCTCTTCAGGATCAGATGCATCATCCCTGCAGCAGTCTCTTCAGACAACGCAGAACTTGAACCCGGGACTGTTCATGCAACAGTTTACAGACCAGATGATGTTGATGATGGAACCTCGCCTCGCTCAGGAGAAGGCTGCTATGAAGACCTCTACAACGACTACTAGACTGAGTGAAGGTTCTACAGTCTCCCCACCACATCTAGATGAAGAGGGAAGCCTGTGCGAAGGCTCTCAGACACCACGATCTTCCCCATCTGAAGTAGACACCCCAGAGAGTGTTGCTAAGAAGTCTCCACGCAAGAAGGAATAAAGGCATTTTCCCGAACCCTACAGACGTCGCAGATTTGAGTCGTCATCTCCATTGGACTCTGACGCCCATCAAGAGCCTGCACGAAGACACTCCTACAGAGGGGAAACTACATCCAGGAATCCACCTTCGCGAAGATCTAGAGAAATATCTCAAATCTCCAGGAATGATTCAAGATCACATCAGGATCGATCGCCTGCGCGAAGCTCATCATATAGATCATCCTTTAGAGACTCGTGCATCCTTAGAGCGTGAAATGTCTAAATCAGAGGATGAAGGTGAAGGCGTCTTCTCCGATACAGAAATTAACTCCTGGATCGCCAATGGCTTGGACTTATCATCATCTTCTAGGGACACAGATGAGGCGTTTACCTACAAGATGTCCAAAGATGATTTCAACACACTCACCTTTCCACCGACCAACCCAATCTCTCAATTACCAGACAACCTCAATGCAGCTTTTGATAAAGTCACCAAGTCGCAGAGCCAGCACATCCCGACATTCAACGCCAGGAAATTCCCTCTACATAGGATGGAACCTTTCCTGAAGGCTCCAGAGGTTGATGATGACTATAAGATTATCACCGACTCCCGTCAAAGAACTTACAAGATTGAGGATAAGAAGTTAGCGCTGCTGGATACAACCACCAGACGTACTTTCCTCGGATTAGCCAGATCGAGGGCTATCAATGAAATACTCATCTCGAAGTTCAAGAATTCCTTGGCCGAAGAAGACCAAATGATATACTCCGCTCTACTTTTGCAGAAGAGAGACCATCAATTTATGTCGGAGCACCTAGCATCCATCTCAGCGAGTTTGACTCTCCTGAGAAGACAAGGGTTATTGTCAGCATGCACTTGGAGTGAACGCTTAGCCAAGTCCTTATACAGAGCCCCATCTTCGGAGGAGGAATTGAAGAAGTCGCCAGAGAAGTCTCTCACGACTCTAGGGAAGTTATGATGATTGGCTAACGTGATTCGTCAGACATCCCAACGCTACTCCAACAAATCTAAGTTTGCAGGAGTCCAGAGAGCCAGAGAAAAGAAGTATGCCAGTATGAAAGGAGGAAGAGGCTCCTTTCGTCGCCCAACCGGAGCTCCTAGAGGTAGCCCTGGAAGAGGCCGAGCACCCAGGGGTGCAAGAGGAATCAAGCGCTGAAGGCTAGGTTCGGAACGACTGGAGTCTTCCACCCCCAGCCGTTCCTGTGCAACCTTCGACAGTGGGTGGACGTCTTTAATGGTACTGGGAGAATTGGGGGATACTACAGGACGACTACATATCCCAGATATTGTGCAGAGGTTACAAGATACAGTTGGAAGCCAATCCGCCGCTCACAAGCAACCCGATGGCCTTCAACTACGCAGCCGACCAGATAGAGAAACTGGACGACGCTATCATGACCCTACTCGACAAAGAGGCAGTAGAAGAGATAGATCAAGATCTCATCACGCCCGGGTTCTACTCCCCAATTTTCCTGGTACCGAAGAAGAATTCCAAGGAGAAATTTCGGCTCATCTGCAACATGAGGAAGTTCAACCGGGAGTATCTACGCAGACCAGCAAAATTCAAGATGATACATCTACCTCAGCTCCGACATCTCGTTCGTCCAGCAGACTACCTCACCAGCATAGATCTGCAAGATGCGTATCTCCACATCCCGATACATCCAGACTCAAGGAAATGCCTACCTTTCCTTTTCAACGGACATCACTTCCAGTGGAAGGTTCTACTGTTTGGAATATTGTCGGACCCCTGGTTGTTTACTTGAGTGACCAAGCCCATCGTCACATATCTACATCGTCGAGGTCTACGCAGTGCTTTCTACCTGGACGACGGCATTCAAGCTCATCAAGATCCCAGTCAACTCAGACTGCAACTAGACTTCACCATCAGGCTGCTCACTCAACTAGGATGGCTAGTGAATCTCCTCAAGTCGGAACTGGAGCCGAAACAAGATCTGCAATTCCTAGGAATTCGACTCATCACACCAGTGAATCGTATAGTCGTTCCAGAGGATCGTTGGGTCAAAATACAACAGATGATATCTCAAGCATTGCTCTCTCCGTTGACACTACGTGCTTGGCAAAGCATACTCAGTCTACTCACCTCAGCTCAAGACTCGCAGAGGGAGATTACAGTGGCTCCCACTACAAGTATTTGTGAACGCCCACCTAGACAGCCTAGATCCGTTCATACTACCGGACAGCCTGAAACCATATCTCCTATGGTGGACTCGGAAGTCGAACATTTGCGGAGGGACCTTTTTATCAGAGCCGGTTTGCAACACTCATCTTTACGTGGATGCCTCCCTACAAGGATAGGGTGCACACTTCAACAACAAAGTGGCAGCAGGGAAGTGGTCGAGTCAGGATCAAAAGTCTCACATAAATCTGTTGGAGATGAAAGCAATAATCAACGCTTTACAACATTGGTCCAGCGTACTAAAGAACGCAAGACCCATGGTACACACAGACAACTCCACAGTGCCGTTTTACATCAACAAACAAGGGTCAACAAGATCAAGAAGTCTGCTACAACTCAGCTTTCTCCTGTTCAGCATAGTCGACGACCTGAACATCTACATGAAGGCATGCCACATTCCGGGAGCAAAGGATGTCATAGCAGATGCTCTATCTCGTCCACTACAACCATCCAGAAGCATTCCAGTTCATCCGACAGACTTTAGGATCCCCACTAATATTCAACAAAGTTCAACAAACAGCTACCAAGGTTCGTCTCACCGATTCCAGATCCTCAGGCATGGGCAACAGATGCTCTAAGCATCTCATGGGAAGGACTAAACGCTCACGCGTTTCCGCCTCCTGCACTACTACCACAAGTACTACAGAAAATCAAGCAGACGACTACGTTGCAACTGATATTGGTTGCGCCCTACTGGCCAGCGAGGGTATGGTTTCCTGTCCTCATACAAGAACTCTGAACTCCTACCCTGAAACTACCAGAGTGGTCGAACCTACTCGTCCATCTACACACCAAGCAATCTCACGAGAACCTGACACTTTTCCAGCTACACGCGTGGAGCGTATTAAAGCTTGCCTGAAGACTAGAAGGTACTCCGCCAGAGCAGTGAAAGCAGTAACACTAGCTCTACGCAGATCAACTCGCAACGTGTACGACGACAAGTGGCAGAGATTTGAACAATATGCAAAGAGGAAAGGCTTTACAGTGGTGAAAGCAACACACCCTCAAGTGGCGGAATACTTATGTCATCTACAACAGACGAGACACTTAAAAGGTTCAACACTCTCAACGTACTTAGCTGCCCTCAGTACAGTTATCACCATGAAAACGGGTATCAAGCTGACCAAAGTACCAGAGATTCTGGCACTACTACGCTGGTTCAAGTTGGAAGACCAACCAAAGAAATTTAAGGCTCCTGCCTTGGATCTCAACATAGTTTTACAACATCTCACCAGTGATGCCTACGAGCCTCCTTTGAACTTCTAACTCAGAAAAAAGCTGTTCCTGATCGCCCTAGCAACAGCTGCAAGGATGTCAGAAATACTAGCTCTGGAATCAAGACATCGTGACATCGTACATCTGGGACTGAGATGGGATTTTATCGCCAAGAACCAACTGCCCGGTCAGCCAGACAGACAGTTCCACATCCCAGCACTATCTACAGTCCTTTGGCCCCAGGATACAGAGGATCTATCCTTATGCCCAGCCAGAGCACTTAAAGTCTACTTACGAAGAACTAATACAAGGAGACGAAAATTCAAGCGCCTATTCATCCCCTTATCCACTGAGACGCCCACGGAAGTCTCACGGACAACGATATCGATCTGGATGAGAGCCGTTATACTAAGGGCCTATAAAGCAGCAGGACTTGAGCCTCCACGAGCCTCAAATCCACATGAAGTCAGAGCCCTGGCATCAACACTTGCTCTGCATGGAAACTGCCCGATTACAACTATAATGGAGGGCTGCTTTTGGAGATCGAACACGGTGTTTGCCAACCACTACCTCAGAGACATTGCCACTGAAGACGTCTCAGGCAATCACCAGTTTGGGCCACTTGTTGTAGCTCAACAATTAACGGTTCCACAAAGGCGCTGAGAAGCTCACCCCTTTATCACATGACTTGTGAAAACCAACGCTCTGGAGAGCAATGGCTATAAGTCCATGCACACGTCTAGGACAGACTAGCATGAGTGATAGACCCTGTACTTGTATAGGACATACTCGTACATGAAGAAGGGTCACATCTCCATTTGATGCATGCATCAAGAGATGGAGTTGCAATAGATAACTAATGGACTATTAGTATATCTAAAATCCACACGAAAATGTCAGAAGTTTCGGAAGAAATCTGACAAGTTGCGGTCCCCCCAGACTCATCAGAGAGAAGTTGAAAGAATCTTCAACAGTGCCGTCATAAGTTCCCAAGGGGGGTAATACAGGACGTAAATCTACAACTAGTGAATCCAGAATGTGGCCTGACCCACCACCATTTCCGACAGATTCTGCAAGCATAATTAGCATGAGTCAGGATAAGGAAAAATATGTAATTTTCTGACAAAAATTGATATTTTATACTTATCCTGACTCATGAGGTTAGCCCTCCCAACCTCCCCTCTTATGGCACTCTGGATTTCCCTGTAAATCCGGGTGTCGGGCTTACATACGGAGAGAGTGACAAATATGGCCGATCATGTGACCAAGGGAGGAAAGGGACGCTACTCTGGGTGAGTGATTTTACGTCCGCTTTCTTAAATGGAACTTCAAGGGATTTCAAGTGTTCCACTATCATTCGCAAGAGGAAGGAGACAAGCATAATCAGCATGAGTCAGGATAAGTATAAAATATCAATTTTTGTCAGAAAATTACATTTTTCACATGGACATTCAAATACCTCATACAAAGTTATGAATTTTTTCTCTGTGACACCCACTAGTCAGTGTGCAAAACAGTTTTAAAATTTTGCAAACCAGACGGGCTAGATATGTCTGAAAGTTACTAGCCCACAAAATTATTCACTGGCCCGAAATTTGAATGTAGACACAAGTTTCATCATTAAGCTGCTAATAAGATGAACATTTTTATCAGGCCATAATCTTGCATGATTTATTATAACAAGTGTATTATAACTTAACAAGTTGGAGAGAGTGATATACATGTATTTACAAAATGATAATTCACTAGCCAGTCGGGCCAGTAACTGTGGAGATTTACTGGCCCGACTGGATTTTTACTAGCCACGGGCTAGCAGGCCAGTGGCTATTTCGAACACTGCCTCTAGTTGCTTACAGAACATCGGACACTGAGACCATCATTAAACATTCTTTGCTTTCTTATAAATTGTATGTGGATGTGATCTTTTGTTACAGGCTGTTCATGATGAGGGTCCATGACATCCCCTATCTCAACCTGACTGGACCAGATGGTGAGTACGGCCCTGAACCCAAGTATAACCTACCATCCCACTAACTCAAGCCAACATGACTGGATATATCATTTAAGACAGTATGATCCTAGCACAGTCTCAACACTATAGAGTTAATGTGGTTGTGACAGTATGTGCCGTGAAGTAAGTTATCCCCACTTTCTTGCAGTGATCCCGGCGGCGAGAGAACATGTGTTTCATGTCACCTTCCCTAAGGAGTGGAAGTCACATGACATCGTCGGCCTGTTTGCTCCATATGGTGAGTATTCCAGACCCTTCACTGTGACGGTAACTATCATGTGATACCCTCACTTTCATACTGAAGGTGCAATGTAGAGTCGTGTTTGAAGCCTTTCCTCATGTTTCTTTGACAACACACTGTTCATCACTGAATTGTGTGGTACAGATTAAAGATATGTCCTGGCATCTGATATAGATAAAACTATATTCACTTACTTGTTAAAGTTTCATCACAGAGTGTGTATATCATACATGTGCTTTATCATCATAACATGATCTGTGTACACTGTAGGTGGTGTGTCCCTGTCATGGATCAATGAAACTTCAGCCTTTGCTGCCCTGTTCAGGAAAGACAATGCTCCTGCAGGTTGGTCAACCGTGTACTTAGACAATAACTTACCAGCTCCTGCAGGTTGGTCAACTGTGTACTTAGACAATAACTTACCAGCTCCTGCAGGTTGGTCAACCGTGTACTTAGACAATAACTTACCAGCTCCTGCAGGTCGGTCAACCGTGTACTTAGACAATAACTTACCAGCTCCTGCAGGTCGGTCAACCGTCTACTTAGACAATAACTTACCAGCTCCTGCAGGTTGGTTAACTGTGTACTTAGACAATAACTTACCAGCTCCTGCAGGTTGGTCAACCGTGTACTTAGACAATAACTTACCAGCTCCTGCAGGTTGGTCAACTGTGTACTTAGACCATAACTTACCAGCTCCTGCAGGTTGGTCAACTGTGTACTTAGACAATAACTTACCAGCTCCTGCAGGTCGGTCAACTGTGTACTTAGACAATAACTTACCAGCTCCTGCAGGTAGGTCAACCGTGTCCTTAGACAATAACTTACCAGCTCCTGCAGGTAGGTCAACTGTGAACTTAGACAATAACTTAGCAGCTCCTGCAGGTCGGTCAACTGTGTACTTAGACAATAACTTACCAGCTCCTGCAGGTTGGTCAACTGTGTACTTAGACAATAACTTACCAGCTCCTGCAGGTTGGTCAACTGTGAACTTAGACAATAACTTAGCAGCTCCTGCAGGTTGGTCAACTGTGTACTTAGACAATAACTTACCAGCTCCTGCAGGTTGGTCAACCGTGTACTTAGACAATAACTTACCAGCTCCTGCAGGTTGGTCAACTGTGTACTTAGACAATAACTTACCAGCTCCTGCAGGTTGGTCAACTGTGTACTTAGACAATAACTTACCAGCTCCTGCAGGTAGGTCAACCGTGTCCTTAGACAATAACTTACCAGCTCCTGCAGGTAGGTCAACTGTGAACTTAGACAATAACTTACCAGCTCCTGCAGGTCGGTCAACTGTGTACTTAGACAATAACTTACCAGCTCCTGCAGGTTGGTCAACCGTGTACTTAGACAATAACTTACCAGCTCCTGCAGGTTGGTCAACTGTGTACTTAGACAATAACTTACCAGCTCCTGCAGGTTGGTCAACCGTGTACTTAGACAATAACTTACCAGCTCCTGCAGGTTGGTCAACTGTGTACTTAGACCATAACTTACCAGCTCTTGCATGTTGGTCAACTGTGTACTTAGACAATAGCTTACCAGCTCCTGCAGGTTGGTCAACCGTGTACTTAGACAATAACTTACCAGCTCCTGCAGGTCGGTCAACATTTACTCAGACAATTACCTTACCAGCTCCTGCAGGTTGGTCAACCGTGTACTTAGACAATAACTTACCAACTCCTGCATGTTGGTCAACCGTGTACTTAGACAATAACTTACCAGCTCCTGCAGGTCGGTCAACCGTCTACTTAGACAGTACTCCTGCAGGTTGGTCAACCGTGTACTAAGACAATAACTTACCAGCTCCTGCAGGTCAGTCAACTGTGTACTTAGACAATAACTTACCAGCTCTTGCAGGTTGGTCAACCGTGTACTTAGACAATAACTTACCAGCTCCTACAGGTCAGTCAACTGTCTACTTAGACAGTACTCCTGCAGGTTGGTCAACTGTGTACTTAGACAATAACCTTACCAGCTCCTGCAGGTCAGAAAACTGTGTACTTAGACAATAACTTACCAGCTCCTGTAGGTCGGTCAACCGTGTACTTAGACAATAACTTACCAGCTCCTGTAGGTCGGTCAACCGTGTACTTAGACAATAACTTACCAGTTCCTGCAGGTTGGTCAACACTTACTCAGACAGTAGCTTAACAGTTCTTGTGGTCAACTGTCCACTCCACTCCACTCCACTCCACTCCACACTACCATTATCCCTCTCTATATTGATGTCTACTGCTATGATGAATCTCATCTCTTTAACCCATCAGCTGTCCAAGGCCTGGTGAAGGGAGAAGATGACTCTGTGAAGGTGATGACATATGAAGACTTCAAGAAACAAGCAGCACAATCACCATTTTCTCTGCTGCCACGGAAACGCAAACATACTTCTGATGATGCAGAAAATTCAAAGAAACCCAGGATATCTCCAGCTGCAGAGTAAGAATATCACTGTTGCTTCATTTAAATGGTAGATATCTATATTCCATCATCAACAGGGGGTCCACTGAGGGGAATTCTCGTGAACCTCAGCTAGGTTATCTGATACCTTACAGCTGAACATTTGACAACCCCTGCATAGAATGAAGGATGCATGAGCTCTTGAACCAACAGGATGTTGGCTTTCTAAGATGAATTGGTATCCTTTCTTTATCACAATGATTCACAGATTTCATTTTCAGGGAAAGTAAGCCCATGTGAGTTATGTTCCTTTGAGGATACACCCTTTCGTGTGCAGATCCAGGGGTTTTCTGTATTCCAAAGTGTGCAGCCTTTATTATTTACACTTATAACTGTCCATTTAAGTTTGTTTATGAGATTCTGAAATCTGTATGTTTTGGTCACTCGAACCAAAACTTTAGTACACGGGACACTGATGAACTGGTCGGAAATTTGATCTGACACAACCTTTGATTGAAAGATTTGATCTGACACAACCTTTGATTGAAAGATTTGATTGTCTTTGGGGTTCTAGGTGACCTAGGTGTTTCTTTGGGAAGCTGAACTATATTTTGGAGGAAGTCTGTCAAATGGTGGTCAGATGTTTTAGGGAGATATTTTCTACCTCAATAATCAAGGCCCATTGGTCTAACTCTGTGGCTCCTCATCTTTGAGTATAGAGTTGCATCCCTTACGATCTGTTGGCCTGTTGGTTCAAATCTCACATTTACCATGAATCATGGAAATCTTCAAAGCAGTGTGTAACATCTGAAACTGACATACCATTTGCTTCAAATATAATGTTCACAGAGATTTTTAGGTTTTCCCTTGTGCAGAAAGTGATGTGCAGAATATATTCTATTGGTGTATTAGATTTTTATGAAAGTTGCAAATTTTCGAGTTTGAAAGCCTCAAGTTTGAAAGGGAACCAATGATAGGGACTTGTACAATGTTTGACTGTTAATGATGACTGTTTCCAGGTCAACGACAGGTCCGGAGGGGGGCGAAGTGAAGAAGGTGGATGCTGGGAAGGAGAAGATGGAGACCAACTCTGGATGCGAGTCACCAGGTAACCTAGAGTTTACTGAAACCGCAGTTAGTATTATAACAGCAATATCATGACTATGGCCACCAGAAAAGGCTTCAGGTGTTGGAAATCACGTCCTTGGGTATGAGTGAGTCCTTGTAACCACAAGGCTTCACCACCTGCACTTCCACTGATGATGGAGATGAAACTCATTGCTTTTCTTCAGTCTGACAAATAAACACTTGTATTGTAGGTGATACGAACAATACCAATATGGAGTTGTACTGTCAATTTTGAGATTAATGTGAGAGTAAAATTAAATGTGAAAAATGAAAGTGGTCTTTGCTAGCATTGCTAAACATCACAATTATGTTTCAAGGCATCACGTTGGATAGCAGAAATACCAACTTAAGTATAAAAGCAAACAACACCCTGTTCACCATGATTTATTGAGCAGCAGTTTTAACCAGTAGATACCAGTAACAATAAGTCATTCAAACTCTAGCAATTGCATCCTGTACATCCAGTGAGTTGTCATTGCTATGGTTAAGAGTTCTACTCATTTGATTTATGTCAAACTTGGGGTGCAACTTGCTGTTTGATTGGATTAATATAAGGTTGGATTAACGTAGGCTTAAACACATTCGTAAATCTCACAGATGCCAGTCCATAACTACATTTATCATATACCTATGAATAATATGGACCATTTGCACATGTAATACTGGCTGCCGGCATATGTCCATATTGACCACCCAGGCCAAAAATGCATATCCTCCATATCAGCCATATTAGCCCTTGGGCCGAATATCCATATCAGTTGTATTGCCCGGCTACTAAACTGGTACGGAATGAATGCATGCAAACGCTCGAAACTTCAATAGACAAAGCCTAGTTCATTTTAGAGTTACTTCCCTTGATGTGGTATATGATAAAAGAACTTATGATATGGCAGTTTCCTTTTCACCAGTTGTTTGTTTTAGCATAAAAGAACCCATAAGCCAGGTTGAATGTTGCTGCAGGTGATGGAGCAGTGTGTGTTGTTGCTGTTGCAGATTCCTGCAGTGACAAGAAAGCCAAGAAGATGTTTGAGGAGCCTGAGGTCTGGTAGACACACATCCATGTCACTTGAAGGCCTCATGCAACAGGCAGCCTATTCACACAGACACTTCAGGAATGAGTTCTGGGGTCATTCCATTGTGCCATCAGTTTTGGCTCCTCTATACAAGGAGGATAATCTACAAGGCTCTACTGTAAAGTGCTTGTTCAAATTAAGGAATGACAGGTTTTGGAATACAAGAATGAACATTTGTTATTATATATGGACATTTTCTGTCAATGTAAATTGAAAGGTTACACAGGAATTATGAGAAGCAAAGACAAGGTTGTTATATGTGATCTTCACATAGATTATCGCACGGAGCATGGCCACCGAGACACCAACAAACCCACATAGTGTAGTTACCAGGTTCCTGCAACTCTGTAAAGCTGATGGGAGTAATGGCAGGCATTTTACCTCAGTTTTATTCCTGTACAAAAGTTAGACATGTGTTTGTTTTTAAGGAAGCTCAGCTTTCATGCATATATAATATGTACAATCTTTCTGCAGAAGTTTTTGAAAATACTGACTCTGTCATGTGAATAGCATTGACTCCATGAATCATGTTTGTACCCACATCTGTTGTTGATCAGACCATCTCTAAGTAAATCAATACATTCACCATACTGTGCCTCCTTTTGTGAATAACTAGTAACTGAAGACAATGATCCACTGAAGTACTGTTGAAAGCCCACCCGCCTGGCAGCTGACTAGGAGGAGAGTCTGTACACCAACATATATAAACTATCATATGACTCCATTTAACCAATAAGTTGACCGACTGTTCAGAGTATATGGACAGGTGATTTTACTTTGTTAGTTTATAAATGTCCAAGTTGCACTTTTTGTGATATCCCCAAAGAACTTTGAATTGTTATGCCAGCTCATGCAATTATTAAACTTAAAGACATTACACTCCAAGCAGGCTGAATATTTCCCGGTTCATAAATACACCTGTCATCATCCCAACACACCATCAGGTGCTCATGAAACAACTTCAGTATAGCAGTGTAACGAATATTACTGAGGCTAAGTTTACTTAGACTGCGTAAGTGAATGTTCTGCAGTGACACACCTTATAGAAAACCAAGGCAACATGCTGTGAGTATGCTGTAAACAGGAGACATTGTATCTTTCATCCAAATGCAATAAGTCTTTGGAGGCGTTATCTACACCAGGGCAGCACTCATGACTTGCCATGGGTTGAGAATCCACGTTTGAGGTTAGGTCAACAAGACAACCATAGTCTATTAGAGCATCTGTGGAATCGCTACCAAACTTCCACATTAACGGCACGGACTATTCCTGGTTCAAGACCAGGTAATGGTAGAACCGTATGTATCCGGTTGAGGGAGCCCAATATCTGGCCCTGATATCTTGCGATACCCCATCGGTACTTTCCCGTCACCGTCGGTCACTCATAGGTTGGTTGTAGACAGCGTCTTTCACAGGGGAGTTTAACCTGGACAGCTCCGATGGTCGTACAATGCTCTACAAGCTTCGGGGAGAACGTTTTAGCAACCCCTGCGTTACTCAACGTCGTCCATGTAAGTGTGATGGTATGGTGGTGGCATCACAACTCGCCGGAGACCACAATTATTCATAGTAAATGGCAATTTGAAAGGCGAATGCTACCAGAGAGACATGGTTCGGGGTCAAAATCTACCCTTGGTGCAACGTAATGTTACGTTGCAACTTTACACTACGCGCCCACATTTTGCACCTGTTGTTACAGACGTTTGGAGCCACTGTGCAGCTATATCCGGCCTGTTTCTCCAAACTTCCTTTAGTACATGCCTGGGAGGTGATGGAGAGAGACGCCTACAACGGAACCCGAACCAGCTGGTATCGCGAGCTCGGTTCAGTCAGTAGTTTTTTCAGTCTTCTTGTATCCTTAACGCGCCACAGCTTCCCCGCCTTTATCAACGCTAATAGTGGACACGCATGGTATATACACTGTTATTTTCCTTGCGTTAAAGACAGTTTAACATTTTCACTTTTCAAAAAGTTGTCAAGTTCTATTGTTATTCACAGTGTTTGATTGCTGTATATATGATCTGACTATAAACAGGTCTGTGTGTACTTAATACATCACAGCTGGTACGTAATATTTGTAAACCTTCCTGTTGAACTACGCGTTTCCTATTCCTAGAAACCTTTGTCCTATTTTTACTTTAACCTTCTGTAAGTGTAAAATAAAATTATGGTTGGAGTGTCGTAAATTATATCTGAAACAATCAGGTACACAGACTTGAAGGTCTTTGTTTAAGAAGAAGAATTGGGTCAGCCTTCTAGGTCGTGATGAATACGTACGTTAGACTATGTATTTTCAATTCAACGATAAGGTGAGCTTCTGTACCTCAGCAGTTTCATTCGCATTTTGACTTTTTAAAATTCAGATTAACCGAAATCAATCTGCGAATATTTGGAATCTAGTTGGTCAAACTAGAACGTTAGATGGCAATTCATCATTTCTAGGTACTACTACAAGTTGGTCGTATGCAAGGTAATAATGAAAATGAAAAGAAATGAATGCGAATTGCTGTTGTGCTACCTTTATCCATGACGCCAGTCCGTTCGTATTACATGAGAATTGTTGAAATATGTCCAGATTAACCCCGGAATACAACTTAACAGATCTAGCATTCTTGATAACAAGGAGTGATGGATCAGCCTAGGGGTGCTCTATGCAGAGACCAATCCTTGGTTCTCTGTAGGGGTACAATTTCTGAATCAAAGGACATCCATGAGATCAGAACGTTTCAACCAGTGTTGGCGTCTTGTGGTTCTGTAGGTATGACCGTGTGTATTCAGAAAGTCATGTTCACGTACTTCGTGCCAGAAACCAATGTTCGAATCCCGGTTTGTGTTTTTGGTCTGACTGCACCATTCCAGGAATCATACATTTACACAAGGATAGATTTGTGAAACCTGCATACCCACCCCGCCTAAAGCCAATCCACCCACATGAAGTGGGTATGCAATGATAGCCATGATTCCTTAGGAAGATAAATGAATATAATGTACAAAAAGAGAAATATTCCTATTTCATCGGGAAGCAATGTTTTTCAACTTTATTATGATTAAACGGGGGTGGTGCTTCTTCTTGCCTATGCGACAGTTCAACACGCTGAAATGACATTTTTCCATTATATTCAGTAATAGGTAAATACAGTTCGCACTACCCCCATTTATAGTGTAACAAAGTACACCTTTGCCCTGAACTATTATAGTCAATGTAAGAGGATGCTTGCTTGCTTGCGTACGTTTCATAACGAGGGGGCAGTCGAGAATGGCGTAATGACGCCAATGCAGTGTGACGTAATACAAAAAAGTGTATTTTATCGCCTGATAATGTACTGTCGGCGCCTTTAATATTTTAGGAATTAGTTCGTGGCAAAGTCAACAATAAATTCATTTAGATCAGGACACTATTATAACTATTCATTTAACAAAAAGACAGGAAATGTTTTCATATTCTTCAAAATTCTCCAAAAAAGGCCGAGTCCATTATAGAATTCCGACTATATCACAATCAAATGGTGACGAAACCGGGTGTTCGCAAAACATTAAGCAGTTAGTGACTACAAGGTCATGACGACCTTGCACCGACTAGGTCACAGTGACCTAGAACTGTTGTTTGTGTCAGTGTCAATGGTTCATTGATTTCAAATATTTCACCATCTCAATTACTATTACTCTGTTGATGAATTTTTAATCTGCTCGGGATAATTAACCACCATCTCAGGATGAAATGTTAAGAGTTTGTTATGTAACAGCAGCTTTCTGACATCACACGTCGACTTGCTAAAACTTGAACTTATTAGTCTTTAGCAGATCCTGTAAGGTGTTTTCTGGCCACTGACATGTTCATGCCTATTGCCTAACAAACTATGTTAGGTACATGTTCACTTGGCGATGCATCAATACATTCTCCAGAATGTATGACTAATATGTATAATATTTTCTTTTCAAAGCAAGCCCACATTTTAAAAAATACATATTCCTCAACCTGGAAACATTAATCTATTATTCTTTTGAAAAAGATTATGCCGACAAATTCAGTGTGGGGAAATGAGATTATCATTTGCGTAAAGCATGTTCATTGTTAGTAGTTGGCTGCATACAATACAGCCTGTGCAGGCTATACACTCGATGGAGCGTCCATACTTTGTTGGTTGTGAATGATTAGATTATTTGTATGTGGAATGAAAGCAGTATTGATTTCTACTGACACAAGTGACAGGTTTGGCGGCATATTTCAATACACATTACCGCACACCATTACAACATTCAGGATCTAGGTCAGGGCTGTTGCATTCAGTACTGCTGTTACTGTGTTGTTTTCCGGGAAATAGTGTTTGAACGAGAGACGGTATTTACACCCGACACCTCTCGCGGTCGGACTGTAGCAAAAAACGAACCACTCGTGTGGTTGTGTCTAATCATATCAGTATAAGTTGAAGGGTTCGAATGATATATTTAAGACTTATGTGTGTAATAGGCGAGTGAGCGAGTTTAGTTTTACGCCGCACTCAGCAATATCCCAGCTATATATGTGTGTATATGGAACTGGAAGCCATAAAGATACGAAGTTTTGTGTTTCTTTTACATCTTGACACAAAAACTAACTGTATAGTGAATCAGAAACAAATAGATGGAGGGAAGCGTTAACGTTTACTATTATGCCATAATTCAGCCTAAGTAAACTTAGGCTCAGTAGTATTCCTTACACTGCGATACTGAGTATAGCAGCGTAACGAAAAATACTGAGCCTAAGTTTACTCAGGCTGGACATAATTAATCTCTAACGGGTTTCTAAGTTTTAAAAACCTAATCTTGGGACCTTTTTAACTTGTAATAGATGTGTACTGATAAATGTACAATTCAATATCCTGCATTTTGCTGTAATCAAAAGTAATTCTCAAAACAAAGCAGAGTAGCATGACTACCTGCTCATCTGAACAAAGTACCCATTATCATTTTGGCGGATGGTCACAATCGGACGACGTAAAGCCTGATGACACTGGTCAATATTAATGATATCGGCCACTGGCTAATGACCTTCAATCGGGACGCAAGGCCGTCTTGACCTTGCAAGCCTTAGCTTTCTTTGTCGTAACTCTGTCGAATAACTACCTCATGCCGTATCGATCAACGGATACATATTCACACATTATTGATTTCGTACATGTCATGAATAAGATGCCATTGGTGCAGCCATGGGCGTTAACCGCCATAAATGTAGGTACAGGAACACCTGACTATTGTAGAGGTGGTTTATGTTCCAGGAGATGGCGAGATTAACATGTTACGTGATGAGGCAGGGGCTTGAGCAGGTGGTGAATGTAGATGGTGGAATACTTTGTATTACAAGTGTCCCGTAACACGATAGTATAACACACTTACAGTACAACCAGAAATTATTGATAATTTAAAGATTGTAAATTTTATATTTTTTTCACTCATTACTCACGTATTAAATGTGAATATTAGCAGAACATAACTCCAGATTCAAAGACAGGTGAACCAGTTAGTATTTTGTCAAGTCACCATGGTCAGCAATGCAGGTTTTAATGCGGCGGGGCATACTACTGATCAAAGAAGGTAGAAAGTCATGGTCCAT